ACAAATCTCGTTCACAACATTTTCCAGCTGGTCTGTAGGAACACGAAGACACTTGCTGCAAGAAGACATGGTGAAACTGAATGAATGTGAAATATTTTCTGACCTTTTCCTTCTCAGAGGGTTCTGACAGTAATATAGACCCCCACAAAGTTTACAAGGGTTCTTTACAAACATGCACAAAAACTATCATATATATGTCTTTGGTTGATGAGTGCCAAGAGAGCAAAGAAGGGAAGAGATTGTCAAAGCGTTAAAACACGCCAACGCCAGGGAACGGCTGGCATCGTCCGGGCGTTAAAACATGCCCGCGCCAGTCAAAGAGTTAAGGTCATCATTTGCATGGCATACAATGCAGTGTGGCTGTCTCTGCCCATTCTTTTTTCAGCCTCTGTCAGTTGAAAGTGGTTACTGTTGTTCTTTTTGTGCTGTGGTTGGATGTCAGTCTTTTGGCAGTGACTGTGAAGTAACAAATGGCTATGGCATTGAAAAGAAATAAGTTAACAGTAAGTGAAAAAGTGAAAATTATTCAGGAGATGGAAAAGAGTCTGTCATAAAATGAAACTGTGAAGCGTTCTGTGCTGCCTCCATCATACGTTTACAGACATCCATAAAATTACAAATTATAAAATTTCTCCTATATACAATGGGTACCCTATAATATAGTATACAGAACTGCAATAGTGAGACATACACAAGAAAATACGACACAAAAACTACAAATAGCCACAAAAGAGTGCAGCGACTAGTCATGAGATTGAACTAAACACTGACGTGCATGAAAGGAGCACGGTGAACAAGTGCAGTTCAGTGGTCTCCCCAAAAAGAAAAATCACCTGATGATGACCCATATGAGGCCGAAACATGTCGTAAAAAATAGAAAAATACATGTAAAGCTAGAGACATTTCAGAAATTTTGATAATCACTTTTAATGTATAAAATATACTTTTAGTGTCCTATTGACATTTTAATCATTTTAACATCATAAAGTATTCAAATACATTTTAGTGAGTGACATATTCTTGATTTTTTTTTTATATTGTTGCAGTACTGATGTGTACTCTAATAATAAGGATAATGCCTCAATACAACAGGATGCTAAGATATAATGACTAGTTCTGTGTTTAGAACTAATGCATGCATATATGACATGTTCTATATCTGATGACTATTGATAGCCAGTAAGGATCTATGGAATTAAAATAAAGATACAGATACTGATACAAATAACATAATTCTATGGAAAGTTACAGTTCTTGATGAGGAAAGTTGGCATGGGAGAAAAGTAAACAAGNCGATGGTGTATACTGTACTTCTTTTGGCTTATTTTGGACTTCACCCATCATCCGGTATATAAAAGACAAAAAACCACGACGTTTCGGAGACAGATCCAGTCTCCGAAACGTCGTGGCTTTTTGTCTTTTATATACTGGACGATGGGTGAAGTCCAAAATAAGCCAAAAGAAGTACAGTATACACCATCGTCAGAATCCTTTCGAGTCTATTGAAGTTTTATTTCATTAAATGAACAAGGCTCGATGCCTTTTTGTTGATTTAACTAAGGTTAACAGTCATGTCAGGCTCTGTTTTCCAAAATCCCCATTTACAGTACAAGAAATCTGTCCCCCAGACAAACCTTAAATCAGGGTTTCACTGTATTTAACACTGTCAGTACTGAGACTATACAGCGCCAAAACCTTATTATAATACCAGTAACGAAACTAAACAGAATAACAATCACACTGAACAACAAATAGTTCTTTTATTATTTACTTGAATGCCTGGATTGATTTCTATATTGGAAGTGATGCTTCTTGAGAAGGAACTGGTTTAGAAAAGGTGTACATGCTGTGCTCTGCCATAGCAAGTAGTTCCAAAAAATGACTGGCTCGTGTATGGTATTTGTATGACAGAATTACTGAAATGTTAGGGCAGAGTAGTTTCACTTGCACATATGAATGTGTGTAAGTCAGATGTTAGTAACTCAGGGATTTTCTGTATACATATATTTAATGTGAAGATACAACTATTTACACGGTAACTGACAGGAGTAAAGCATTGCATCCTAATATTTGTATGTTCATCGTAGTATTGTGACCTGCATTTTAGTAAAATTGCAAAAGATTTTCACAGGGTTGTTTGCAAGGCAAGAAAAATCCCTTGTACTGTGGTCAATTATGGCCTATTGTACAAGCCCCAGATGCTAGGTGAGGGTGATTGTGGAGCAATTGGTGGAGTGAAGATTGGCAGGGGAAACCGAAGTATTCGGAGAAAACCTGCCCCAACGCCACTTTGTTCACCACAAATCCCACTTGACCAGACCCATATATGTGTTTAAGTGTGTGCTGATTGAGGGCAACATTATCCACTTCACAAGAAACAGCAATATGCTTTCTGTTATCAGTAATCTCATTATCTTGGATTTCTTAAACATTTATGCTATTTTTTAATCACAGTGAAGCCTGATTTGCATTGAAAATTTTGAATTTATTTTCAATTTAATCACAGTGAAGCCTGATTTACATTGAAAATTTTGAATTTATTTTCAATGCACTGATGTTTCAGATTTGGGGTTTCACTCAGCACTAAGTAACTATGTATAAAAACATTTTTCACCTCTCTTTATTAATTTTAATTACCTATTTTGAACTGTATAACTCATTTGCTTAATCACATTACATAAACCAACTTAACATTCCTGTATAAGAGGGAAAGGAATAACTGAGTACTATCAGTACCACTCATTTTAGCATCCACAATCCAATACACAATATATTACAACAATAAAATCTAATTAAATTTAATTACCCCTTCTTACAGTATTTTAATCAGTCACTAACAAAAAGATGTTCATAACAATTGTTCAGAAACAGACAAATAAAAGAGAAAGGTAGCAACACAAATAACAGTCCTTTTAGATTATAACAGTATCTGATTGTCATTGCATGTGTACAATATTGTTTCCATAATAGGCATCAAAATGAATGTTAAGCTGTGCCTGGGCTAACACAATATGCAGTGTACACAGCTCACACATATCCACAGAGACAATATCAAAGTTGACAACACCGTTAGGCTGACTGCTACTGAATGTCATCATTAGAAACGAGTATTTTTACATCCTGTTAAGACATTCAATGTAATTATCAGAAAGACGTAATCTTTTACACAATGTGTCTTACAGTAAACATGTTACCGTAGTACTTACTTGGCAGCATGAAATAATCTGAATGAATTGTTAAGAATGACATTTGCTTGCATTTAGATATATTAAACTACAAAACAATCATGTTACACCAATATTATATTATGTTGGAATTTTACATTTTTAAGGTGCATTGATAAGCATGAGATTTTCAGTTCTTCAGATGACTGTCATTATATTTCATCGTTTTCAATTAAATAATTAGTGGCAATGGATGGGAATGAACCCAGGTACTTGCTTGAATTTATATGTAGTTGTGAAAGGTTTGCAGGACCTCCCTAGCTACAAGCTCTGGGGGGTGGGGGGTTAACATTTATCACTCAGCATACACCTTTGACAGTGACAAGATTTTTTTATGGAAATAACAAGGGAAAACATAAGTAACAGTTTAAGTAAACGGGAAGCGAGAGGGAATTTAAAAGATAATATGTTTACAATCTTACGCCATAATGTTCAGAGTCTATGGAATAAGCGCATGGAATTGACAGTACTTTTAAATTCTAGCTTGCAGGATGTAAATATACTGTGCTTTACAGAACATTGGTTGGACGAATTCTCACTAACCTTCGTAGAAATAGATAAGTTTAAACTGGTTAGTAAATTTTGTAGAAAGCAAAGTAAGAGTGGTGGATCATGTATATTTGTAAACAAAGAGTTGAACGTAAGGGAAGTCATGTTTTTAAATGAACTGAGTAGTGAAAAAAAAAACTTTGAGATATCAGGTGTGGAAATTGAAAAATTTAAATAGGTATTGATATGTATTTACAGATCGCCTCAAGGTGATGTGAAAATATTTTTGAAGAAACTCGAATCTCTCATTGAGAGAATTCACAAAAACAAGGAAAAAATAATAATCTGTGGTGACTGGAATATAAACCTGCTCCAGGAAAATAAGCAGGTCCAGTCATTGAAAAATTTGTTAGTATCTTATGATTTAATAAATACAGTCTCCAGTCCAGCAAGAGTTACTAGTAGCTCGGAATCACTGTTAGATATGTTGGTGTAAAATAGGCAGTTTAACAAGAATTACATTGAGATTATAAATATGGGATATTTGGATCATTTGGCCCAGATGTTATGGGTATTTATAGACAAAGGTAATGATGAGAGAAAAAAAAAGCTTTAAAAAGAAAGTATACCAAGGACAATATTGCTAAATTTATAACTTTGTTGACTAGTGAATCTTGGGGGGAAATATATGTGCAAAGGTGTGTAAATGAGACACATAAGCAATTTATAAAAAAAAAATCTTAAGACTATTTTAATCACGTATTTCCACTGAAACCAGTAATAAAGAGAAATACTAAGAATAAGAAATGGATATCAAAAGGAATAAAAATATCTTGCCGGAAAATGAGGTTTTTAAACGATTTTAAATGGAGGATAGCTTTGCCAATCGAAATAGTAAGCTATGTCAGTAGTTATCAAAGGATATATAAAAGGGTTATTTCAGAGGCAAAAAAGAGACAAAGTGATAAATGGATAGAAGGGGCATCTAACCCAAATAAAATAATATAGCAGATAATAAATAAAAGAATGGGCAAAGTAGGAAAGGATGACCAGGAGATACTGCTACAAGGATATAACAGGAAAATATCCCACCCCCAGGAGGTGGCTGACACACTGAACTCATATTTTATAGACAAAGTTGAAGAACTCATGGAGAAAAACAAGAGTAAGACCAAAGAAATATCGTTAAAAAAAGTTGTAACAGGAAACCCAAATTCAGTGTATTTTTGGCCAATCTCAAAAGAAGAAATTGTCATAGAAGCATCTAAATTAAAGGGCAAAGCCTCGGTGGGAGCGGATGGAATCCCAGATTTTCTTATAAAAATATGCATCACAAGTATAAAAAACCCACTCAATTTTATATTTAATGAATCCATAAATCAAGGGGTTTTCCCTGATTTATTGAAAATTGCAAAGATCAAGCCAGTTTACAAAAGAGGAAACAAACATCAAGTGAGTAACTATAGACCTATATCAATGTTATCAGTATTCTCAAAGATCTTGGAAAAAATAGTATACAATAGACTGGTGTCCTTTACAGCTAAATTTAAAATATTAACAGAAAAACAATATGGATTCCAAAAAGATAAATCAACAATATCAGCGTGTCAGTCATTTATCGGGAAGATACAAGAAGCTTTGGATAAGAAATTACTACCAGTGCGTATTTTCTTTAATTTAACAATTGAATTAAAAATTTTAAAGGTGACATCTTTGTATATTTTGGAGGTGTTACATTATTTCAAGGAATATAACATTTACACCACAAAAACTCTGACCTACATAAGTATGACACGAGAAAGAAAGAAGACCTTCACGTGCAAAGTTATAATACCTTAACATATGAGAAGGGTGTTACAAATATGGCTATTAAGCTTTATAATAGACTGCCTTTGGAACTAAGAATGGTAAAAGCAGATAGAGAATTCTTACATAGACTCAAAAGATATTTACTGGAACACCCATTGTATAATTTGCATGAGTTCCTCTCAGAAGGACAGTTAAACAAATAAGATTTTGTAAGTTTTGAGGTTTTCACGGTGATGACAATGAAGAAAGTCATCTTCTGGGTTCAGGCACCGTGTATTCTTCGTTTTGGCCGATGTTCCTCCGAAATGTCGGCCAAAACGAAGAATACATGGTGCCTAAACCCAGAAGACGACTTTCTTCAAATAAGATTTTCTTTGATAAATAGATTTAAGTGTAAATAAAATGACTAGNTGTATATGATAGATACATATTTTAGTTATTTTAATGTGTGAACATGGCATGCAATGAACTGGTTTGACGTGGATAAGTAAGCACCTGAAGATGGCATTATTATGCCGAAACATGTAGTGCGAGGGAGAGAAGGAGATAAATGAGTGTATGCACTGCAAGACGGATTAAATAAATCATGGACTTAAATCAGTGCAACAGGACGCTAAAATACAACACAAGACTAGTATTTAGGTGAAGTTTTTAATATGATTCAGCCTATAAAGGGAATGGAAGTCTTAAAAGAGATTGCACTCCAAATTATTTAACTGTTATCTAAATTGAATTTTATCTTTTGTGGATTACTTTGATATGATAGGTTTTAAGTTTAAGAATATGACGGTGGTAATTAAGACATATATAGTAAGATGACCTTGTTTTTTATAATTGAAGGTAGTCGTAAATTTGATTGTACCTAATATATTTTAATTATACCGAGTGTGATTTTAATTGTAATTTAATGTCATGTTACGTGATATATGATGACATTCAATCGATTGGTCAGGCCAATCAGACTGGAAAAGTTGTATATGTATGTGACTTGTTCGAGAGTTACAATTTGTAACTGTGATGAATGTTAAATAAAATTATTATTACTATTATTATATAGCATGTCTGAATTGAATGAATTTAATAAAGTAAACAATATTTTATTCAATTTCCTACACATTATTATCATATATCATGTTATGAGGTTTCAGTCTTCTTTCTGAATGATTTCCCTATGTTGTAGGAGAACCAAGTACTAACACATAAAATACTACATATTATTAAATTATATCTGAAAAGGATACGATCTGTTCTGTCTGTGGCAATCAGCAGCTTTCAACAGACAATCTTTACACTGCTCAAATGACTTGGCATTTCTAAAGCAGGTAGCTGTAACAATTAATAATTCAGTAAATACCCATCTGAAAAGAGACAGCCCATTATAATGGCATGCTACATAACAAGCAGAGAAAAAATTATAATTAAAATACATAGCTGTAACGCAGCAAAAGCTCTCATATGAAACATAATAAAGACTCAGTGATGTATATGCATATATTTGGTCAACTGAGTAGGCTCTATACCTGAAGCTAGAGACAGAGTTCAGTCACCAAAACGTTTTAAATAAAAAGCAGGATGATGGATAATATCCAAAAAGTCAATAATTAAAGTCTCAGCTGCTAACAACACTGTTAAAACAATAAATAAATAACCTACATCACATTACCTGCTTTGCTGTATTCATCTGCTGCAATGTCAAAGTCTGGCCTCCATTTCAATAAAGATGTCTTCAGACTGAAATAGGAAAATATAGCTCAAAATTAAGGGAACTAAGTTGTCAAATTTCTCATCATGGAATTTTCTCTAGCTTCCTGTCACTTCGTCCCTCAAGACTACATGAGCAGACCTCTAAAATTCATTCATTAATTTATTTACAGTTCTACAAAATCCATGGAGGTGTCTGCCTCAGATATAGAACAAGTCAGCAATACAACATAACCTGTGAATATACATACATAATCAGATAGTCATCATCAAAATTTTAAACACTCAATACAACAAGACTACTGTACAATACATTCCATATATCAAAATAATATAAAATTACATACATGATCAAGAGACCACCAAGACTCTTAATATGGTCATATAAGATCTAATTTCTTAATATATAATACACCTATATCACAACAGTAATAGTACCTCTTTCCTGTGTATTTTATTCCATAGTCTGCTGCATCTTAGCAATAGGCAATGGTGTTTATTTAAATATTCATGAGGGATCAATCTTAATTCCAGCAGTAATACTCTTCAACAGTGTAAAAGGATTTGGTGATAAGAAACTTCTTTAACAGCACTTTAAATCCAGGGATGTTGTAAGATAATTGTTTAAGCTCTGGAGGGAGGTGGTTATAGTCTCATATCAGAATACCATCCTACTTTCTGAAATATTGTTAAATTTACCATTGGAAGATGCAAGTCATGATTAAATCTGGTATTACGGGTGTGGACATCAGAGTTTGTTATATAGCAATCTCTATTCTTGACAACCAGCATAAGTAAGGAAGATATATATTGCAATTGAAGTGGCAGTATATGTAACTCCTTAAACAAATTACGGCACGAGTCCACATTACGAGAATTGGTAATAATTCTTATTATTCTTTTCTGCATTTGAAATATGATTTCTGCATGGGCCGAACTCCCCCAGAATATTATACCGTAAGATATTAGTGAATGAACTATGGAGAAATAAACAGTTTTTAGACACTCCAAGGATAAAAGAGGTTTTAATACTCTAATTACATAGGATGCCTTATTTAGTTTGGGTATCATTTGGTCAATATGGGTTTGCCATGACAATTTATGATCAATAATCAAACCTAAAAATTTTGTAACATTGACATTGGTTATTTGTTTTTTCCTACATGGTATATTTGAATCAAGAGCTCTTGTGTTTTTAGTTACAAATTGTAGAAAATAAGTTTTTGTAAGATTTAGTAGTAATAAATTACTACTAAACCATTTATTTAATTTTTCTAAAACTATATTTATATATTTTTCAAATCTTGGGGTATCAGGATTAGTAATTATTAGACTTGTATTATCCGCAAACAAGACTGGATTGAATACATCAGATATGGCATTAGGCAAATCACTGACATATAGAAGGAGAAGCAGGGGACCAATTATGGATCCTTGAGGGACACCAATAGTAACAGGCTCCCATTTAGAGTAGAATTTAATTGAGTCAGAAACAACTATTACTCTCTGGTATCTATCTAATAAATAGGATTTAATTACATCGTTAGCTCTTCCCTTAATCCTGCAATGTTCCAACTTTGAAAGTAGAATATCATAGTTGACACAATCAAAGGCCTTGTGAAGATCACAAAAAAATACCGCCCACAAATTCTTTTTTATTTAAAGCAGTCAGGATATTATTAATAAGATAGTAAGCTGCATCATCTGTCGATCGTGCATGTCTAAATCCAAACTGTTCATTAGCAAGAATATTATTATCCTTGATATGTCGTTGCATCCTATTATAGATTACTTTTTCAAAGATCTTAGAAATTGATGTGAGCAGTGAAATAGGTCTGCAGTTAGATGTGTCACTTTTACCACCTTTTTTATATATGGGCTTTATTTCAGAAAACTTTAATCTTAGTGGAAAATTGCCAGTTGTTAGCATTCTATTACACACATAATTTAGGGGGGAAGAAACATAGGGACTGCTAACTTTTAAAATTCTAGTGGATATCCCATCATATCCATATGAATTTTTTGTTTTCAAGAATTTTATAATATCTTCTATTTCCTTTGATGATACGCATTTTAATGCAATAAGGGGAAAACGTTGATTACGTGCCCTAGACAGATAAGATAGAGGATTTTCATGGGTAGAAGTGACATTAGCTGAGCAATTAATTTGAACAGCTGATACAAAATATTTATTAAATTCCTTAGCGATAATCTGAGAATCTGAGGATAAATTACCGTTTACCCTTATAGTACTTATGTTGGGTACATTAGGTTTTATGTTGAAAGTACTCTTTACAATATTCCACATAGTTGCAATTTTATTATTTGAACGAGTTATGATATTATTGTTATGTTTCTTTTTGCAAGTTTGATAACAGAAATTAAAATTTTACAGTATTTCTTATAAAACTTTATTATATTTATATCATCACTATTTCTTTGAGCTAAATAGAGCTTTTTTTTTTGTTTATACATGAAATCCTGATTCCAGGCATTAGCCAGGATTTACTGGCAGAGTGGGTATGAACTTAATTTGTATATCAGGGTTACATTCAACTTGGCCTTTATCCTATCAATTGGAAATACAGAACTTAAGGCCTCTTCTTTTCACTAACCTCCAACCCATTTTCACTCATCTGTTAACTTCTAATTTTTGACACTTCATAAAATTTCAAATAAGTATATGCGAGAATCTATAATATCATATTTGCAGGTTCACTGTTCATTGTTCATTTATTTCAAATTCAAAATAGATCCAGATACAGGCTGGGAAACAACCATTGGATATAGAATGAGTCACAGATCAAAAAACAAACATTCCATTCCCACAGGAACAAGTCAAGGCATTCATAATATAAAATAATAATAAAGAACATATCCATTCATTTTTTATTTGTTCACAAGATCTACATTTGGCAATATTGCCTCAGATACAGAACATGTCCATAGTTTAAATGTCCATAAGGACAGTGTCATAACAGGATAGAGACGGTACAAATATACGAATGTAAGTTTAAAAACATCCAGAGAACCACGTTATAACAGAAAACCTCATATACATAATAACAATTCACCATCATAATAGTAATTATAAACATGCAAAACACATGATAATGCCACCTATTTAACTTAAATTTCATCAATACAATTTAAGATATCTAAAATATCTTTGAGGACAAGGTCCCATAATATACTGTCACGTGTTGGGTGTATAACGCGACAAATAACTTCACGCCATATTTGATATAGCGAGTTTTATTTCACATTCGCTCTTACAATCACACAAATTACAATCTGACAAATACTGCCATCGGCAGTATCACAAATACTGTACTGCAACTAACTGCTGGCTTACTAGGAACTCTCCGCTGGCCAGATTGAGAACTCTGTTGATCACACACTGGCTCGTAGGCTTGCTCGGAACTCGTAACTAGAGAACTTGAGAACTGAGAACTGACTGTGAACAGTCTTCGCTGCTCCGTATCTAGCCTCGTTCTGGACAACGCAGGAAACAGCCACGTAATAGGCACCATTGTTGTCTGGCGCTGTGTTGCTAGCAACACTCTCGGGAGTTGTTTACTGCTTCCTAGCAACCGCGGTATCCCTTGGTGACGTCACCGCTGGCGGGGTGGGCGAAGGAGCGTTGACTCGCCCGTTACCTTAGTTACGACAGCGATCCGATAGCGTTATGTAACCACTGGCGGGGGGAGGGGTGTCCCTAATAGCGCAACACGTCACAATACAAACAACTTATAGTACTAATAGATACAAAATAAAACATTTATTTTATTCACAATTCATTAAAATTGGTTCCAGATTCAGTCATATTGCAATTATGATTTAAATCTTGTATCTTACAAATATAATATAATATTACATTTAATCCTTATAGTTAAAGTATTCATCCATGGTATAAAATGAGTGAAGAAATAAAAAAATTTTAATACCAATTTAAATTGTTCAGCATTTTGAGATATCTCCTTTATTGTGGCTGGTAAGCCATTAAACACCTTTATTCCCGCCCCCTTCTGAAAAACTGTCAGTTGAGATAGCAGTTGATGTAAATCATGTTTTGCCCTAGTATTAACATTGTGAATGGCAGAGTTTGTCTCAAAATAATGTCTATTATTGATCACAAATAAAGAGAGTGAATAAATATATTGTGATTTTAGTGTTAGTATTTTTAGTTCTCTAAAATGTTTCCTACATGACTCTCTACTTGTAATCCCTTAATTATTCCTATAGCTTTCTTCCGTAATCTAAAAATTAAGTCACTATGACAAGTATTTCCCCAAAATGTTATCCCATAGGTCATGATCGAATGAAAATAAGCATAGTATACAATTCTTACTACTTCCTGGGACAGGAGAGGCTTTATTATTCTTATTGCATAGCAGGCTGAGCTTAGCTTACATACAAGTAAGTCTATATGAACCTTCCATGAGAGAGTATTATTCAGTATTAATCAGAGGAATTTACTATTATATGCATTAGGTACTTTCTTATTTCCGTTCATTATATTTAATTCAAGTAGCATATTAGCCTTCGTTACAAACTGCATAAATTGGGTCTTTTCTACACTTAAAGATAAAAGACTGGAAGTAAACCATTCATTTATACTTTGATATATTTTGTTTACAGTATCTTCAAATTCTGTCTGATTAATACTATTAATGATTATACTTGTATCATTGGCAAATAAGACCATCCTTGCTCCATTATTTATTGATACTGGTAGGATCATTGATATAGAGCAAAAAAGTACTGGTCCTAGTATCAAGCCTTGTGGGACCCCACGCCTTATCAGTCCCCAATTTGAGCTATTTTTATTATTACTATCTAAACTCTCTCTCTGGTATCTACCCTCTAAATAGGATTTGATCAATTTAAGTGCTACAGCTTTTATTCCATAAAACTTCAGCTTCTTTAATAAGATGTCATAATCAACAGAGTCAAAGGCCTTACATAAGTCACAAAAAATACCTCCAGNCCACAGGAACAAGTCAAGGCATTCATAATATAAAACAATAAAAAAGAACATATCAACCATATATACAACAGAACTCCCCCAGTTTACAAAAACAATGCAAAACCAAGACATAGAACTCTCAAAGGTTTCAGGCATCAGTACAAGCTCTTTTTTTCGTTTTCATTACTCGTCTATTATTTCCATAAAATCCAAATTGATTGATTGATTGATTTATTTCGTCACTGTAGATCATTGTACATGATATATGACAAGTCAAATACTTTAGGATGTGGAAAAGTCATATTAGATAAATAAGCAGTACAAAGAACTAAGTCAAGACATAAGAATAGAACCAGAATACAATTAATCTTACAGACTAGTATATACAAAAAATTCATCCACAGTATAAAATGGGTGACAACTCAAGAATTCTTTTAATTTTAATTTAAACCGTTTAATATATTTATATAATTGCTTCAAATTTAGTGGGAGACAATTGAATAGTTTAATGCCCATATAATATGAGCCTTTTTGATATACTGATAAATGAGTTGAGGGTTTATATAGATTTAGGCTGAGTACCTGTCTAGTGTCTCTATTATGTATATCAGATACAAAATAATATTGATCCATGCTATCGACCACAAAAGATAGTAGTGAATAAATATACAAAGATGAAAGAGTAAGAATTTTTGGAGTAGTGAATATCGTTTTACATGAGTTTCTATCACCAGCAAACGAAAGACATTGATAGCGTACAAAGAGTTACCCCACAAAATAATGCCATATCGAATAATAGAGTGAAAATAGGAATAATAAACCATCAGCAAAGTTTCCTGATTCACAAAGTGTTTTATGACTCGGATTGCATAGCACACAGAGCTAAGTTTAGGGATAAGCGAGTCAATATGAGTTTTCCAAGTCAGAGTATCTGCAATATTAACCCCTAAGAACTTTAAATGGGTTGAGTTGGGTATTTCCATGTTATCATATACTATCTTTATCTCATGTTCATGCATATTTTTTGTATTAAACTTGACAAATTCAGTTTTAGAAAAGTTTAAGAACAATAAATTAGCATTAAACCATAATTTTAATTTATTAAGAACTTCAGTCACACTATGCAGGAAAATTAAGAGGATCTGGATTGGATATAATCACACTAGTATCATCAGCAAAGAGGATAGGATAGGAAATCCTATTTAATACTAGAGGCAAATCATTAATATAGATCAAGAATAACAGGGGACCCAAAATGGATCCCTGCAGGACACCATGGCATATTAAGCCCCAATTTGAATAGGTATTTAGGTTACTATCATTACCTTGTAATTTAATTCTCTGAAACCTTCCTTTAAGATAAGATGCTATCCATTTATGCATCGGACCCGCAATACCATAGAATTCCAACTTAGACAATAAAATCTTGTGGTTGACACAATCAAAGGCCTTTTTCAAATCACCAAATATTCCACCCACATTATGGCCAGCATTTAGGGCAGTTAAGGTCAGGTCAAGCAATCTATTAATGGCCTTTTCAGTGGAAAGATTCATTCGAAATCCAAACTGTTCATTGGCTAAAAGATTGTTGATAGTCAAATGATGACAGTCTTACAAACACCACTCTCTCAAATATCTTTGAAAAGGAAGTCAATAAGGATATAGGCCTGTAATTATTGATAAGATTTTCATCACCATTTTTATATATAGGTTTTACCTCGGAGAATTTTAGCCTATCAGGAAATATACCGGTGGCTAACGATCTATATTTATTATGTATGTTAAGGATGAGGTAATAAAGTGTTTACTACTTTTTAATACTTTGATAGGGATCTCATCACACCCAGTAGAATTGGTCGTTTTCAATTTGTCTATAATTCTTTCAATTTCATTTGTTGTAACATAACTATAATTAATCGGAGGGAAAGTGGTTGTACAGGCTGTGGTGGTACGGCATGCGGAACCGCGGTTGGGGTTTCGTCGGCTGCGGGGTTGAAGGTCTTGGTGGTGGTCCCACGGCCTGTCTTGTTTAACATGTAGGCCAGAAGTCATCCCCATCCCAGACATCACAGCCAACACAGTGGCACGAGCCCTACTGACCGGCTGGATATCCCACTTCGGTTGCCCACAGACCGTCACCACTGACCAGGGACGTCAGTTTGAATCTCAACTCTTCCACTCCCTGGCCAAGCTCTGTGGCATTCAACTATCGAGAACAACCGCTCACCACCCAGCGACTAACGGACTCGTGGAACGTTTCCACCGAACACTAAAGGCAGCCATCATGTGCCACGCAGACCAACACCGGACAGAAGCCCTAACCCTGGTTCTCCTCGGAATCCGCACGACATTCAAAGAGGACCTGCAGGCATCAGTAGCTGAGCTCGTGTACGGCGAGCCACTAAGAATACCAGGAGAGCTGCTAACACTGACTGCCGAGCCAGTGGATCCAGCGCACCTCATCACCCAACTGCGCCAATATATGGCCGGCCTCAGACCAATTCCAGCAACATGCCATGCGTCCCCGGCTACATTCGTGCACAGCGACCTCAAGAAGTGCACACACGTCTTCCTCCGGCAGGACACGACTCGCAGAGCATTGGAGCCCCCCTACAGCGGCCCCTACCAGGTCCTATCACGGAAGGACAAGACAATGCAAATCCTTGTGCGCGGCAGGTTCCTGATATTCATTAGCCTTATTACATATGTCAAATATATCACAATTTTTTAGTGTACTTTTGGTAATGGTCTCTGCTATTGATAAAAAATATTTATTGAAGGATTCAGCAATAATTTTAGTATTGATATATGATCTATCGGGAGCACTCAAGTTCAGTATAATTTCATGATAGGGTTTCCCCCCGGTCAATGATTTAACAATATTCCAAGTGGTTTTAGTTCTATTATTGGAGTTTATAATTAGTTTATCATAATATGAACGTTTGGCTTCTATAATATTTCTAGATAAATCTTTACAGAACAGCTTATAATAACTTTGCATATTAGGGTTATTACTTTCCTTACAGCTTAAATACAAATGTCTTTTTATGCTACATTTAGTTTTTATACTAGATGATATCCATACTTAGTATTAGTATGGGTCTAGTAAGACATTTGGGAAAACTATTACAAAAGTGTCTTAAGAAAATATTTAAGAACGTGTTGAACACAGCGTTCACTTCATTATTATCAAATACTTCATTCCAAAGTTCATTACTAAGATTATAATTAAAATTTAACAAGGAATATTTGTCAATTGTACAATGAAACGCCATGAAGCCGAAATAGCTGTCACTGCAGTGACCAGGCTTTAGGCTGGACAATGGAGGAGCCGGAATTCGATCCCGGCAAATGAAAGAAATTATTTATTCTCTACAGCGTCCAGATCAGCTCTGCGGCCCATCCAACCTCCTATTCAGTTAGTATATGCGGGACCTTNGGCGGTAAAGTGGACGGGGTCAGAAACTGACAACTCACCTCATCTAATGCCGTGGTTAAGAATGAGTGAAACTATACTCCCACACCCATACATTTTCATAGCGTGACACTTAATTAAGGACCTGGATACCTTCAGCTTACAGTAATATCCATTTATACAGGTCTGGAGAACCTCACAGACGAATACATGCACTTCAAAATATCACTACAAGAACATGTATATACGACCTTAACATTATATCCTATAAACTTACCTCTTTTCTGCTGTTTTTATATGATCCAAACCTTCTTCTATCTTCTTATTTAGAGCCATGATATACTAATACAACACTACACAACAGGAACAAAATGGATTTTCACGTTTACAGCAATCCAGCCCACAGCATTGGCGCATCGGCAGCGCTACCAATATTGCTCTTACGGGTCACCTGAAGCTGTCGATCTGAAGAACTGCGATAGATTTATGCCAGCTAGTAGTGTAACTAAGTGTTGATATGTTTTTAAGGTAAGAAAACTTTAATTTACACGGCTTCAGTATTCAAAGTGTATGATAAAAGTTTAACAATCCATTTTAGTTGACTTCAAAGGTTTGTTTACTTGCTAAATATGAACATCAAGGCTTCCAACACTGCTTGATACGTAGCAAATTATTTCTACCAGTTGGGTGGAATTGAAAACTTTGCTATGAGTAATTTTATGCCCTTAACTATGATCATTGATACATAGTATAATGAAAAGAACTGAAGTATGGGGAAATTCATATGTAGATGACACCGTGTTGAAGCGTCATGAATGTTTTTAATTAATTCTTGTGTGATATATTCGTAACATGTCAAACCTGTAAATGACTTCCCTCCCTATCATTTGAACTGCTCCCCACATGTTGTCACCAACTTAAGGCATATCCATTCCATGAATGTAATTTCCAAACATTGAAGAGAATCATTATATAAGAACTTGTGTATTATATATTTCAATTTTAGATTATACCACGGTATTAAAAATGAGAGATGGTTATTTTCATAAATCGTTTTTAATTAAATAATTGTATGAATATTTGTCTTGCAGTTGGCAACAGCCATGTTTGGGATCATGACAAATATATGAGAAGTCAAAGCCTCGAAGTTAATACAAGAAGTGTGCAGGTTAAAGAGTATTATTAAATACATGTATCTTGGGTGATTACAAGCTTTGGTTTCTTTGTTTTTAGTTATCCCATTATTTTTGATTCCGAATTATGAAATAATGAGTCATACGTGTGCTTATAAATATTTTACTGTAAATTTCAGTACATGTTTCTGTAACATAATTTATGCTAAATGTGCATGTGGTGGTTGTGCGTCCCCTCCCCCAGAATTTAGGTATGTAGTGCTAAGTTATTGTTTCAGTTTTTAAACTATGTGGAGAAGATAATGACACAAATGCAAATACCCTATATATATTAAAACTGCATGATTATTGAGAGGTTAGCCCCTCCGAAGTGTGATCCGACGCCGTATAGTTCGGTAGGTTTCCAGTGCTTCAGATGAACCTGCTGTGAACTGAGTAGGATAAAAATCAGAATACTCTCTGCTGTGAGACTCAAATTGTATTTAGATGTTTAACTCAACATTGACACATCTGATTGCACAAGGAAATTTTAGCATATTTATTTACCCCAAAAGCTGCAATTCCTACGTGACCTCTTATGATTTTCCTTGTTCATATACCATGGTTTCAGCATTGTTAATACTTGTCAGTAGTGTCTTCTCTATCTTGTCATGACCCAGCATTTTTTGTTCACTTGCCAAGTATCAGAGGATCAGTTTGAAACATTTCAGCACTGCAAGCATTGTCATTTTTTACATTTATTAAATGAAATGTGTGTAAGTATTGCATAGTTTTCTTCCTTACGAAAAATATGTGAAGTTTTCAGAAGTTTCCTTGCTTTTATCTCTGTCTTTATTATTGTCACATGCATGAGTGACTGTAGACAGGGTTTGGATTGGTGACTTGATTTATTGACCACTTATACACCCAATTCGTGACTACAGGCCGTTGCTTTGGTAACAGCTTCCAGTGGTGGATGTACCCCTTACTCTGGGTTCACGAATTATCCATATACCTCAGTTTCTAACAGCAATGGCTCACAATGACTGAACTGCAGTCCTTTAACTACCAGACTAGCAGCCATATCACACCAACCTCCTAGTCTTCTCTTCATGGACTCACTAACCAAACTTTCAACTAACTATCCGGTTATAACATCCTGGCATGGACCACACAGAAAACACTGTTCCTCTCTTGTTGTTCAGTTGTTGCTTATTAAGAATCTGCTGCCTAGCAACAGCTATTTTCTCGTTTGTTTCGCCGTCATTGTGGTTGCCACAATATTGCAACTGCTGAATACTGAAATCTCAGATGTTTTCAAGCCTCACATGCATAGTGCCTCAGGGTGGCAGAAAGTACTGAGTAGTGTAAAGAAGTGTTTGCTTGCTGAAAATAGGGTAATCTATACACCAACCTGAATCTCTTAAGTTGTTAGGTGCTGTTTCTCCTTTTCAAATGTGAACCTTGCATAATATTTGTTAGGAGGAAATAATAACCATTTTTAAGATTGAGTTTGTAATATAAAATGGTATTGATTTGAAATATTTTATCTCATTGCCTGGAGAATATATTTCATGGGGCAGAAGATGTTAAATATTTCATTGCCAGTGGATGATACATTGAAGCCCACCATGTTTCTAGGTGTGATTAATAAGGTGATGTTTGTTGTAGGTGGTGAAGATGTACTCTAAAGAAAAGAGTTTCTTAAATAATTCAATAAGACAATGGCTAACATGAAACAGAACCTTACATGCAGCCGTAGTAAGCCCCCTCCTGCACGTAGTTCTAGTTACAGCCTTGGTAGAGTTCGAGGCCAGATGAATGTTGATCATCCATCATCAGCTATACTGCATACAATGCAAGCACCAGAAAGGTATAATACAACAAATGCTTGCTGCTTTATGTTGTCTTTCATGTTATAAAGAGGCCTACTAATTGAATATTTGTGTTTTAGTCATGTGGTTACAGGTGATAAAACTGGGAGTGCAGCCTCAGGATTTGGAGACAAGGCTTCTGGTATTACTTCAGTAATAGCATCACCCAAGGAGATTTCAGAATGCCTCAGTGGTTGGGTAACTTACCTACAGGTAATATAACAAGTACATTGATTAAGTCTATTGTAGAGAAGCAGTGTCTGAAATTTCAGTGACCTGTTTGCTAACAATCCCTCAAGTTCCACACAGGACAGCTGGAATTATGCAGTAGACTCTGTTATTCACATATGGATTAACCAGAGTTCTTTTAGAAATGCCAGTAGCTTAATGACTATATGGATATTGGCCATCTCCACTGGTTATATGTTTTGTTGTTTCAAAGGTATGTGCTATATGCTATGTGCTTTACCAGTTCTACTGTCTTGTTGCATGTCTTCAGTCGGTCTCTCTTTATCACATCAAGAACAGATTCTTCAACCTGCCTGAAGCCCTCCACCCTGGCTGCCACTAAGCAAATTTATTTACTTATGGAGCCAGGATAGCTCAGTCAATATATGTACCACTGATAGACAATCATTAAATAACCAGTGAATTTAACCTTTTTCACTGCTGATATAATTCTGGTACCAGTTCTTAATAACCAAATTGTGGAACTGTGTGACAAAGTTGTCACATATATGAGTATGTCAGGTTGAGGAAAGTTGTGTGCATGCAGTTGTTCATAACAGGATTTCAGTCTGTCAGTTCTACTGAGGAGTTATCCACGTAATAGATTTCAGTATGCAGCACTCAGAGGATACTTAAATAAAGTGACCTTCTCTAGCCTGCACTGCCTTAAAGCACTGGTTCCCAAACACTTTTAGTTTGAGCTTCCTCTGTGTGATTAAAAGGATATGAGGCCCTCCAACATATGAAAATGACTTAAAATCTAGTTAAGCAGTTTCAGAATATAATAACTGATGTATATTAATCATGTCTATGAGCTGTGTTTCCTGTTCACAATACAATCTTCTGGTTTGTAATGCAGTGTAGCTTAATGTAGTCCATCAGTTCTTCAAGGGCTTCTCAGTGAACTTCTGCCAAGTTACATGGTGTTACAACCCAGAGGATCACACTTTTCATGGTCATCACTGTGAGAACTCAAAATCCAGCATTTACTTTTTAATAAATTGTGTGTTGCCCCACTTTGGAAAATGCTGCTCTAAAGCACTTTTCAACCTTCCTTTTAAACTTTCTTAAAATAATTTTTGTGAATTTATAATTATTTGTATTAAAATCTACCATCAGGATTTTGATTTTGATGAATTAATGACAGTTGTTGGTTGTTCTATGAATGCACAAAGTGAATGAACTGAACACATGTCTTGATGTCTCGTCTGTTTTGTCTCCCAGGCTACTTAATGGGTACCGATTAAATGTGGTTAGTCAGTGCTAGAAGATGGGTGAAGTTGATTTTGAGCTGTATACATCAACTGTAATATTTGCATTATGCGAAGTGCTCACGTCTTTAGTGGAGTACATTTTTCTGCTCATGTTTGGCAGTGCGAATATTCATAACCATTTATGATCAACAGTTGTTTCCAGTGGTTGAAGTTTTCTTTATAGTTTAATGTTATTATGTAATACCATGTTGATTATTAGGATTCCAGTACGTTAAAACTAGAGTGTTATAACTTTTTGAAAAGACAAACCATTCATGATTGTCATAAAAATATCCAATCTATTTATGGTTTTAAACAACAAGCTTTCCAGTTAAGTGACCCATGATACAAAATATGCTTCAGTGCGTTTGCAAAGAATGAAAATAAATGGTCTGTAATATTTGTTAGTACTGTGGTGCTTAAAAATATGTATATTGTATAGATGTTGACAGGTCTGTGTGGTGCTGGCTCACGACTGTCACACTGCCTGGGGACGCTGGTGCAGGACACCTCCTCCCCATGCCATGCTGTGGCTACACAGTGTCAGGCAACCTGGGAAGAGCTTGTCAAGGCTACCACAAATGCTAGCACAATAGTCAAGGCACAGGTGATACCCAGTCTTCAAGAAGTGAACGCTGCATGTGATATCGACGCAGACTCTCAGAAGATGCATGAACATAATCAGGTATATACACCTCCTATGTGAATGCTGTTTGATAACCGGTTTTATGTACAAATTACTTGTATTTAAAATATATGGTATGTTAAAGTATCCAGATCATTAAAAATATATTTTAAATATAACTGTCTATTGTGCAGGAAGTTGGTAGTTGCTAGGCTAGTCGAGGAATGCCCTATTTTAATAGAATGTGAAGGCTTATTAGGATGTTGATGAAAGCCCACCATTATAGTGCATCCTCAGCCAGTTTAATCCAATTTGTACCCTAGTACCATATTTCTTTATATTAAAATATCCTGTGCATACCTGGTCCTAAATGGTCTCTTCACTTGATTTCTGACTAAATTTTTTTTTTTTTTGCATTTCCTGTCTTCTCCATGCATGTCACATGTCCTTGCTTCTGCAGAACATAATCACCTTAATGGTACTGTATTTGGGAGAGCCAAAATATGAACATTTTCCCTCACCCATCTGCCTAGCAGCTACCTCTTGCCTATATACCTTCCCCACTCCTGTCAGTTGTCACTTTGTATTCACAGTTTTTTATTGGTGATGAGAGAGAGGTAAGGTAAAGTTGTCCCTATGTTTGATTAAGCACCATGCCATCAAGGTGTATGGGAGAGAGGAGGTATTGTTCCACCCATTCTTAATCACAGCGGTAGATGGAGGTGAGCAGTGAACTTCACAATGCCAGCCAGTTTTCCCAAGGAGAAGTAGCTATTGGTACCCATTGGGTGGGCATCAGAGGCAGTCTGAATGCATTGCAGAATAGAAGAATATCTCTTTATTGTTTGCTTGCAGCTTGTTATGTATTACTATGTAGTAGCATAATACAGCCATCAGCACAACAAATTTGTTGTGTTGACAGTTGTATAATAATATATAGAAGAATCTCTGCCCCTGCTAAGAATCAAACCCTGATTACCGAGTCATTCAGTATTTGGCCCATGAAAGTATTTTTTAGTAAGACCATAATAACTTACTTACTCATGGAGCTGAACCCTTCTGGAGGAGCTGCCAATTCTGCAGCTACTCAAGAATTTCCCAGAATTTTATGGAACCCAAAGGTTTATTACCATGTTCACAAGAGCCCTCTACTGGTCCCTATCCTGAGCCAGATCAATCCATTCCATATCACCCCATCCTATCTCTCTAAGATCCATTTTAATATTGTCCACCCACCTACACCTTGGTCTTCCCAGTGGTCTCTTTCCTTCTGGCTTTCACACCAATATTCTATACGCATTCCTCGTCTCCCCCATTCATGCTACATGTTCTGCCCACCTCACCCTCCTTGACTTGATCATTCTAATTATACTTGGAGAAGAGTACAAGTTATGAAGCTCCTCATTATGCAGTTTTCTCCAACCTGTCAATTTATATCTCTTTGGTCCAAATATTCTCAACACCCTGTTCTCAAACACCAGTCTGTTCCTCCCTTAATGTCAGAGACCAAGTTTCGCACCCATACAGAACCACAGGCAAAATTATAGTTTTGTATATTCTAATTTTTTTGACAGCAGACGAGAAGATAAAAGGTTCTGGCATGAATGGTAGCAAGCATTACCTGAGTTCAGTCTCCTCTTGTATGAGGGGTAGGCCTCCTCGGCCCTTGCATCGCAACCTACAATAGTCTATTGTGCTTAAAAGTCAATGTCCTCTTAATTTCCTCCTGAATCAGGTTCCAATCTGTTATCATTGTTCCCAAATATCTGAACTGTGCCACATTTTCAAAACATATGTTTTCTATATTATATTTAAGCATCCTGTTGCTCTCTATACGATATATGATATAAACTCCATCCTAAGTGCAACAATATATTTTAGGTCTTTTGTCTTGCTTTCTTCTACACTACATGTTTCGGCCGTAAACGGCCATCATCAGGTGTATACACTCATCNAGTGTAGAAGAAAGCAAGACGAAAGACCTACAATATATTGTTGCACTTAGAATGGAGTTTATATCATATATGTTTTCTATCGTTATGTCATGATTTTACCCTGAATTTTGGTGATGAGACAGCAACATATACTCAGTTTTCTCTGTGTTTACTTCTAGACCAACCTCTTTACTTGCATCAGTTAAAGTATGTGTGTTTTTCTTTATGGTATCTACATTATCACCCAGTAGATTCACATCATCGGCATAGGCCAACAGCTGATGTGTCCTGTTTAATTTCAGTCTTACCTGGTTTCCCTGGACCTTCCTAATAGCATATCCTGAAGAAAAGTTGAAAAGGAGTGGTGATAAAGCATCTCCTTGTTTTAGACCATTTTGGATAGGAAATTTATCAGACAAATGTTTACCTACATGACTTTACTATAAGTTTTGTTTAAACACATTTTAATCAACCTAACTTGTTTCATGGGTATCCCATAATAATTATTGTAATAAAATATTTCAGTAAAATCCATCTTATTTGAATATAGAACTTCTGAATTAATTGTATTGAGGGTGCTGTATGTGAAATAACATCAAAGATTCTGTGTTTTTCCTGAAAATAGGAATCTGCATGTGAGTGTATGTTATAGTGCATATTCAGCATAACAGAAAGAGATGCTTTTTCAGTTCTGAAGACCTTTGTAAAAGTAACAGCTTATTTGATTGAAACAATATGCCTTTTATTTAGAGTAAATACCAACAAGTCTAATGATGTTGAATTTTTCTCATTCAGGAAGTGATCTGTGGAAGCCTTATGACCTTCATTAATCTCCATTATCAGTTCTGTATTGCATGCTGTGACTTCCTGGGAGCCATGGCCAATTGCAATTGCTGTCAGTTGAATGAAGCAGCATCAACACGTCACAATTCAGAATGCATTGTTGGCATTATTCAACAGTGTTTTGCCCAGCTGTACACTCCCACTCCCCCTCCTCCTCTACCAGGTACTCACCGCTCAGTTCGTAGCCCCCTTCACTTCCCTTTTTGGTCCTTGCAAGGCCCGCAGCGCCGCTGGTCGGAAGCTGCAGCTGGGGATGTGACGGGTGAGACAAACAATGGCACAATGCGTCGCTGGTCCATGCCATGGGAAAGTTCCAGACTGGCAGAGCATCATAATGCTTGGCATGGACGGCTTAACCCTCCTTCAAAGCTAGCTGTACCATCAGCAGGCTCACAAGATAGAAGTCGGTCTACAACCCCTGGTAAGCCAGGTTACTGTATGCATTTAATTTTCAGTAGAAGCATAAGTAAAATTGAAATCATAAAATAAATAAAGTTAATAGTTACTGAAAATTGTGTGATTGGAGAGGATATGTGAAAAATGCAAATGATTTTCTCCTATGGTATTAAAACCCAGTGAAAACATGAACTCATTGCTTCCATTGGTTTGTATCCAGCACTTTTTCCATGAATTCTGATAATTTGTAGGTCCTCTTCAGTGCCATGTAGCCACCTTCTGCTTGGTCTCTCTGTTCTACTGGCCTCTGGCTTGGCTTTCTGCAAGGGTGTATTTAATTTGTTCTGAAGAGTTACGCAGATGATTTTGTCTCTTGAAAAATTTATGAAGGCAACAGTTTGCATAAAGAGAAGGATTTTCACCACAGTTGCAGGCATCATACTTTACTTGCTTGTGGTTTCTTTGTCCTATAAAATTCACAGTACCTTTCATCCAGCAGACATATTGGCATTGACGTTAACCACCTGTTTGAATCCTCAATATCTCATATGTAGGATAGAGTGTTATGTTCGGTGTGCAGGAGTGTGAAATTTATATTAAGGAGAACTTGTGGGAAACAAGATGTGTGAAGCAGTTTGACTTCTTAGAACAGAGCCTGTATGGTCTTATGCCTTACAGTTTAGGGCAGGTCCAGACCAACTTCTGCAGTTCACCCAGCCTCCTATCCATGGGGGTAAAGCGGCTGGGGTGTGAAGCTGATCACTGTCTTCATGGCATACTGCTTAATTAAGCACAGGGGACTTTTGGGAGGGGGCATGTTTCTGCTTGTCTGGCTGGCTGTATTTTGTCAACCAGTATATACTGGGTGGATTCACTTGGTTACATGGGATATGGGGTTTCAAATAATGCCATGATCCATATGCAGTTGTATGTGTATTGAGGTGCTTACTTCATACTCCACATTCATGGGGAATTTTGAGTGGTATAATTTACAATTCATTTTCTGCAGATTCAGTGTGGCATTCATCCCTTGCAAGTCAGGAAGAGCTTCAGGAAGTCATTCAGCTGTTGTCTTGTCGACCTGGAGTCGGTCATTCTACACAGCTATATCATCCCAGCCAACATCTTCCTGGTGAGCCTTTTATGATACCTGCATTAAGGATCTGTGTACATTTCTTCAGACCTTGTATTAATCACATAGAAGAAAACTCACAAATGTAAAGATATACAGATTGAATAGCAGAACAGAAAAGATTCACTTAACAGAGCAAGGCTTTTCACGCATTTTGACGGAAGAAGGTGGCAGTGATGATAGAAGACAGTGAGACTAAGTCCCTTGGCACTGCAGCTAGCCCCTGTTGATTTTATAAATAGTTATGGTGCGTGGTGAAAGAAAGAATTAGGAAGACATAGATAAAGGTAGNCCGGTTAATCCGCCCCCGGATAATCGAGAGTTGACTGTATTAAAATTAGTATATCTTAGAGAGGTAGGATGGGGTGGTGTGGATTGGATTGATCTGGCTCAGGATAGGGATCGGTGGAGGGCTCTTGTGAATGTGGTAGTGAACTTTTTGGTTCCATAATATGTTCGGAAATTCTTGAGTAGATGCACAACTGACGGCTTCTCAAGAAGGCTTCAGCTGCATGGAGTTAGTATGGTGAACTAGTGGAATGATAATTGGATTCTAAAAACTGAAGGAACTTGGAGAGAATAAACCTACTCTGCTGCTACTTTGTCAACCAAAAAATCCATGTGAACTGTTCTGGGGTAGGACCGAGGTCTCTGAGGTGAGAAATTGGTGAATGATCATCTAGCCTGTGATTCAGTCATATGCCAGAAACTGGTAGTGTGCTCAGTGAACAGCATTTGGAGGCGCAGAGAATCTTGACTGCAACTGCACTGTGTTTGAGAAAGTTCACTCAAGTTCATTCTCACACAGTGGGCTGTGACCGTATGTCCCTCGCCAAAATTATTTAACTAAGGGCATGAACAAGGGATGCATTGTTTAATACCAAGAGAGATGCTCCATCGGCGAGATAGCATCCCGAGACCGTCTATTTGTAATTCACCTATTGTCCTCCTTAGGCTTAGGGTGCCACTATTGTCCCTAACGTTGCCTGTTTACTTCCAGTATCATAAACCCATGAACTGACCGTGTGCAAGACCGGCCAGGAGGGGTCTTGGGTTCCTTGAAGACCCACAGAAATTTATGGGCTTCTTTAAAATATAGGTCAGATGCCAGGCTTGACCCTTGGCTTTCTCTTTTATGTTTCTATTTTTTTCGTTTTAGGCCAACTGGGGGACTGGTAAAGAGAGGGCAGTCGGTTATAGGGAGCGGAGGAGGACAGTAGTTGAAAGGTAGACAGAGAAGTGTTTAACAGTAGCGTAGTGAGTAGGACGGACGGAGCGGCTAGCTTGAAGGGCAATGCAAATTTTAACCATTGAATGAAATTTTAAATTAAAAGTACAATATTCCGTGTTCTGGAGATCCCGGATGTATTAACCCCAAAGTGTGTTCCACTCCCATCTCCAAAGCACCCGTATCCTGAGAAAAAGAACCCAAGCTCGAGCAAGGTCGTGGCAGCTGTAAGTCGGAGGGCGGCTACAGGGCTAAGGAAGAAAGTTAGAAATTTCGTGATGATGGCTGTCTAACCTGGAGATCCTAGATCACAGTGATGAATCTACATATCCTCTTCTGTTTTCTGTGACCAGTTTTAAATAGATGTCGCTAGTTTGATTCAGTGAGAATAATTTTCTTACAGGAGTGACATTAACTAGTTGTCCATATGATGGCCCATCTCCAGACTGTGGGGGTTGGAGTGAGAATGTTCAGTCAGATGAAAGAGGGGGCAGTTATGGGCCTTCCTGGCGTGGCAGCAGCTCACCTCAGCCACTGACAGCACAGCAGCACTTTCATCGTGCCAGCTGGCATGCTCCTGACACACACACTCACATGTAATCTCGTAGCTTCTGCATTACCAGTACAGTAATGTAGTTTACAGTTTCATAAATTTATGCCTCTCAGGACTGGATTTACAGTTGTGGGGGCCCCAGGTCAGTCAAAATGTCAAGGTCCCCATCAGTAATGACCAAGTTAGGTTATGACAGTTCTCTGTCTTTTTTTTTTTATTATTATTTCTTACAGTAACTGAAAATATACCCTAACTTTGTGTTTGTTTATAGAGACAATTGTCTCCATAAAGTCTGTTTTATGGTACCCTGATTGCTTCCCCTTAAATCTGGCCCTGATATTATTCCATTTACCATTCTGCTTCATAGAGGAACCTATGGAAATTAATGTCTGCTATGAAAGTAAATTTTAGAAATTTTTATTTAACAAATAGGAACTGACTTAATGTTTGGAATAAAGGAAAAATATTTTAAAACTGTTGGGTGAGATACATTTGCTGTGCCAGACTTATGCAGTATGTTGGAACTCACCTGAAAATAGAGTATTCTCTTTGGTTATAAGTAAAAGTTACATTTAATTTATTTATTCCTGAATTATTTAATAACACAAAGATTATGTCTTTCACTCTTCTTCCATCCTAGGAAGTCCTGGAGATGTAAATTAAAATTATAATTATTAGTACAATGTTGGAAATTCGTATAGAAATCATTCATCTAAAATATAGTTTAATTCTATCACATCAGCTACATTATATGGTTTATAATAGTACCATTCATAGTAACAAATAAATCAAATTATATTTATTTTTTCCATAATTCTTTGTTATAATTTTTTGTATAAACTAATCTTTTATTATGCATGAATGTATGGCACTAGCCATGTAACATTTGATAACACTTCATATTACATGTAGCAAGATTATGTTGCACCCCTTCAACATCTTTTTTTTTTTTGCACCCTAGTACCTCACCCTGCAGGACTCCATTTATCTCTGTAGTACGGAATATTTTGTTTCTGCAGTTACTGAATTAGTTACATGACGTCTTCCTGCTTCACCTACCAGCTGCTGTTTTTATGATTAATATAAAGATGACTTCCACATACTCCTTTTTTTTTTTTAGTTTGCTCACTGTGAAGAAACTTTTATTTCTTTTATTATATATACAGGGTGTCCCAGGAGGAATGTGCCAAACTTCGGGAGGGTGTTCCTTATGTTAATGTATGCTGATATAACCCAAAACACCTATGTCCAAAGTTGAACGGTTATGGAGATAATGGCCAGAGAAGTGTGAAACTTTGACCTGTGTTACACACTTGTTGATTACCAAATACATATTAAAACTGTGAGGAATATGTGGTTTCTGTAATGTTAATAATGTACGTAACATCAAACTAACTTGTGAGTGACATGAAGCCATTAAATTGAACTACAGAAAACTCGCACACCATGTCAAAGTTGTCATTAAGAGTTCCAAGCACTATACATGACACATGAATGGCAAGCGCTGACGTATGGGGCTAATGTGAGCTGCCATCACCACACTAAAGGACAAACACAGATAAGAGTAGCCAGCTGACAGGTACAGTGCGTGGACCCGCCAGAAGACCACACTTTTCTCGGGCCATTATCTCCGTAACCATTCAACTTTGGACATAGGTGTTTTGGGTTATATCGGCATACTATAACATAAGGAACACCCTCCCGAAGTTTGGCACATTCCTCCTGGGACATCCTGTATATATTTTTTCACATTATATTGAGTGTTGTTGTAATCCATGATAGATTTAAAAACCTGTCAAAATTCTGTCAAGTAACAACATAAGATACTATTTATTTACTTATTTCAACTTAATTGATACACGAAACATATTTTAACATTAAAATGTCATTATCAGGGTTATTCTTTCAGTTGATACATTAGTAAAACTACTCAAGGTTTTCTTGTGTGGTTGTGCATATTTTCTGAAAACTTGTACTTATTGAATCTGTTGAGGTAAGATCGTTTTATGATATTAACTAAGTTTTAAAATTCTTCTGTGTCGTTCAAGGATCTTAAAATGTTCCAAATTCCTTAATTAATTGTATGTTCTTTTTCATAGGTTACTGTGGAGTATGCTAAAAAGTTTAACAAATTAAGCTGATGTTTCCTTCTGTAAGAATAAAAAGAAGAATATTCCTGTAGCATATGTAATTGTAGGGTCATATGTGATGCAGCCTGTGTCCTTGTTGAAGTTAGACTGGTCTAACTACAACCAAGTGTTAATGACTACACAGTATCTGCTTCATCCAAAGACAGCAGCACTACCTCATGGGGAAGGAGGCAGTGGCATAATAAATATCATGCAACTATGTAGCACCCAAACTGATAATTACCTTTACTGCAGGTACAGATGTCAGTATCAAATTCATCTGTTCAGCTGTTCACTGTCATATGTTACAGGTGGGGTGAGCATGAAGGCCATGCTACTGGTGGTGAAAGGAGTTTTGACCTGTATCCTCCAGCTCTTGATACTGGAACCTTGGCTTCAAGGAAGAGCAGTTCATCCACTGATTCTTCGTCAAGCCATTCATTACACAGTCGATCCACTACTGGTTCTGAGGGAGGCGCTGTGAGTTGGGGGTTTTTTTGTGTTTCTTAGTAGAATCTTAAACAGTTATAATTCCTAAGGTCCATCCTTTGTTAAAAATAGATAATATAGTCTAATGAGTTCACTTTGAGGGGTGGTACATGTACAAAGTAAAATATTCTTTTTGTTTCATCACACTGGACAGTAATTTGGTAATGTTTCTTCTATAGGATTGCAGTGAAAGCAGTTCTGTGACTTTCTTATTCAGACAGAAATTTCAAATTACCTGTAATATATTCCCTTCTTGCAAAATATCATTGGCCTCCTCACTTAACATAACAGCTTTCAACTAGCAGCAGAAGCTGCTGGAAATATCCAGACATTTTCTCATGAACGTATCATAAACTGTCGGAATATGTTTGATTATTGTTTTATGCAGAAGGGTAGTGTTTAGTATTATTATGTTCCTTGTTTGTATGTGTATATATTCCTAATAATATTTTTTTAATAAACTGAATTTTATGATACCCTGTATGAATATTTTACCATATATTATCTCATATTTGTTTATAATTTTGTGTGTGAATTTCTGAGATGGGAGGAACACTAGTGCCTTAGGACAGAGGCCTGAGAATGCATGTGGTGGCGGATGTATGCAGTTTTTGTTAAAGACAGTTTTTTTAAGAATGTAATGTCATGTCCATACAAAATTTGTATTTATTGTTCCATTTGAAAGTGCTAATTTATGACCCATATGAAATTTGGCATGGAAATAAATCAAACATGCAGATTTTCCATGAAGCAGTGTTACATATTAAAAAATATGGTATAAAACTTTGATGTTATTTGTTACAACTTTCAAGTAATGAAAATTTATATTGTATCATGTAAACCCATTGCTATTTTTTTATTGCTAGTGATGTGGGGCTAAGTCCCTTGTGCTGCGGCCACTTCTTGCCTAATGTACCAGCCCCAGATGATAGGTGAGGGTGATTGTGGAGCAGTTGGTGGAATGAAGATTGTCAGGGGAAACCGAAGTACTCGGAGAAAACCTGCCCCAGCGCCTCTTTGTCCGCCACAAATCCCACTTGACCAGACCTGGGATCAAACCTGGGTCGCTGCGTTGGGAAGCCAGCGACTAACCACTTGAGCTATGGTGCAGCCTTAAACCCATTGCTAAATACTCTGTAAACAACACCTATTGCTAAGCAACAGATTCCTAACACACTAATGGACTAACTGGGAAAAGGTGTTTTTTTACACAGTCCATGCAGCAGCTGCGTGACATAACAGTAGAAGAACTGTTGGAAGTAGTGTTTCCTTTGTGGTCTGTGCAGAGGTGTTATAAGCAGGACAAGTCTGGAGTTTAGTTAGCTGGGAGACAGTTGCCAGTAAAGGCCTATACACAAAAGCTGAGCAAGCTATGGCATTGGAAGCTGTTACCAGGCAACAACTGGTGAAGATACAGCAGAATGAGAGGACTTAGTGCGTGCTGTAGTGAACAGCTGAGTATGTGATTTAGTGATAGTGCTATAGTTACTTGTAGTTACAGTCTGTAAGAGAGAGTAAATCCAAACTCCATCTATAGCCCCACTCATGCACACGACAGTATTGTAAGTTATGCACATAAATAGATCGCTAAATCTGTATAATTATTAATATTTAACTGTATAATTATTCATTTTTAATATAATAGACATAGAAGAATTTAATGGAAATTAATATTATATGTTATTTCTGGAATTTCTTGTTATATTGCATGATTGAATGTAAGCTATATACATTTATTATATTTTATGGTCATTAAGAGAAGTAATTGAAAATGGGAATACTGTGATTATACAGGAGGTTCGAGCACATTTGTACTCTATGTGGAGTGGCAGTGACCTGTCATTCATGAAACTTCCAGAATCTAGTGAGCCAAATGATACCATCCAGGTAACAGATATCACAACTACATCCAGTTCTACCAGCAGCGGAGATGTCCCACAGAAACTGTCGCAATCGGATGCAGCTCACACTTACTACAGTAGCTCGAAATGAATTACAAATTGCATCATATCAGTAATATTGAAACTGTATATTGTACAGGTATATGCTGTTGTAAAGGTTTGCAAGAATGGTCTGGTATTATTATGGGAGAATATTCATAGACCATTGTCCCTTGTCTGAATTATACACACACACACGTTTTTGGGGCTATAATCTTCATATAGATGGATTTATTGATTGGTTCATGCGTAATGTAACAACCCTTTATCAGTTATGTAGATTGCATAGTGTTAAATAGTAGAGTGATTGAAAATGATGAATTTGAAATGATTTAGAAGGAAGCATTCATTATGTATTTTCCTGTCGGCACCATAAGATTTAAATCAGTTGAAATAACCTAAGGATAGAGGAGGTTGGGCTTTGAATAAAAAAATAATCATGATTGGAACAAATTGACGGTAACTTTTATAAATTTAAGAGTTTAATTTAATTTCAGTTGGATTTTGTAGTCAAGGCCTCTGATATTTTTAGAATGTGGGGTTGTGATTTACATTACCTTAGTAATTCTGATTCACATGGTAATCATTGAAGTACTGAAGAATAGAAACCAGTGTCCATATCAACACACAAACACCCCAAGCACAACATAAATTCCATCTGCTGTGACAAATTTGCAGTGGTGCTGTTATAAGATCCGCCATTTTGTGAGTTCTGCAGAATGGTTCATCATGGTTATTCTGACTTTGATAGTTCATTAACTAATTCCACGAAGCACAGTGCTTGAGAAACTATAAGTTGGACATTTACACAGGAATTTCCCACCATTTATGGAAGTCAAGTGTTCATACAGTGTTCACAAGAGCCCAGCTCATTCCAAAAAAAAAAAACTGTCCAAGTCGCCATGGAACGTATTGTAACATGTTAGTTTTTATAATGAGGAGTTTTTTGCCCCCTGCATAATCCCCCAAGCTGAATGACCAACCAATTTTGGCTGTTTGAGAATATTTATTCATTATATTGACAATTACCCTCCACATCTTGTGACCATTTTCTCTATCTACAACCTGAAGATGCATCACACTATGGTGACAAGGGACCCATTTAAGAATAGTACTTTGTACAAAAATATTTTTAAAATTCTCAAGCTATCATTTGTGTTCTTTTTTGCACCTTGTGGTCAAAATCCACCCCAGAAAATTTCCCTCATGTCTATATAATTTGACATGTTTTCCCATTCAGAATCTGTCACTACCACCATTCTTGATCTCTTTGTTACCACTCATTAATGTGTTGGCACAGGGGATCATTTTTATATCCGTTACATTACAGTTACTCACTACTAATTGGTGAGTTTGAAAGCTTGCAGGTTGGTAAGTAGCAAGTAAATTGGCAATTCAAATTGCAGTGTGCTAGTTTACCAGCCAGATAATCTGTTCACAGAGTGTGTTCTACTGAAAGTGGCAGTGCCTGCTTCTTTTTCTCTGAAGATGGATACATGTTTTTCTGAATTGTCAGCTGACCTTCACCAGACTACATGGCATTATATCCCAGAAGATAGAATTCTGCAGTGTGACTCTAGGCTTCACCTAAATATGTACTGTCACAGTAGTAGAACACACAGACATTTAAAGTTAAAATGTCTAAACTATTAGTTTGTGCCATCATTTTATTGTATGTTGCCATTTTTCAGGAAAAACTGAAAGACTTTAGTGTGAAAGAGAAAAGGAAGGGGAAATGGGTGAAAGATTTGATTTCTGGGAGAGAGACATTTAATCATTCTGTTGCATTTTTGAAAGACCTAGCAAATGATATTATGAGTACATTATTGGGATGATTGAGGCAAGAAAGATAAGAGCAGGACACAAGAAAAATCAGATATGCATACAGACTCTTTGGTCTAGTGGTCAGAGTTCCTGGCTACAGACCCAGAGGTCCCGGGTTCTATTCCAGGCACTACCAGATTTTCTGAGAAGTAGTGGGTCTGGAACAGGGTCCACTCAGCCTTGTGAGGATAATGGAGGAGCTATTTCAAGGAAATAGCAGCTCCGATATATAAAACCAAGATTTATGACTGTGGGGATCTGTTGTGCTGACCACACGACACCCTCTATCTGCTAAAGTTGGCACTAACTTCGCTGACAAGCAGCAGTCACATGGTCGGTGTAGTTCGCTTGTGGATTACAGGCCACAGAGTTTGTTTTGATGGGAACAGACTTCTTGGATGACTGGTCATTTTGAGGTAGTTATAAATGTTTTTGACTGCAGCATGGAACTGAACCTGAGGATATACACAGTATTACAAACTCCCGTCATCTCTACAGAAATCAATGCAAAAATATTTCCCAGCTACTGAGATATATGTACAGCAGATACTAGCGCTACAGAATTATATTACTGAGTCGGTCTAAAATACAGCCAGAAGCAGAACAAATCTGATATCTGTGAGGAAAAGCCAAAATTCGGTACTAAATGGAAAGACAGTAGTGCTATAAGTCAGTCCTTGGTCAGTCAAAGTGTTATACAGAACTGTTCCACAAGCCATAACCAATAGGTTAATGGTATTATGTGCTGAGGGGCTAAGCTACTTCTGCTGGAGAGATGGAGAACGACCACAGAAAACTTCAATCATGACATCTTATCTGTGGACCCAGAATTGAATATGTGACCCCCAGTATATGAGACATTATTGCTAACAACTAGACAGTGTCTGAAGATTCTCCCATAAGGTATATATAGCAGTTCCTTTGTATAAGCCAGTTTGGATATTGCAGTATGTAATGGAATGCACTCTTGTGCATTTTTTGTACTTATTATGATTTACTGCTTTCATTTCAAGGTTTGTTTCTTCCAAGTATAATACTCAGTACATTTTAAATATATGAAACTATGTTCCTTATTGTTCAGAGTCATAGTTCTGTACAAGGTCAGTTTCAGTCTCTTCTTTTAAATATTCTATCTGTTACTTCATATGTGATGCTATATCCATCTGAGATGTTTTAACGGTACTTTGGAATAGTGATTAAGGCTGGATGCATTCACTACATGAGGTTGCAATCAGAAGATAAAGTTGAACAATGAATAAAGATGATATAGGATTTGGTACTGAATCACAGTCAGGCAATTCTGTTGAAGGCATGACATGACATCTAAATGTGACAACAAGGTGAGGCACCCAGGAAAACTACATTTCAGTGCACGTACAAAATTAATTCACTGAAGTAAGAATTTGATCAAACAAACATTGTGAAAGATATATATCAAGTCATGAAAAATACAATGTCACATAAATTTCTGCACTTACATAAAATTTGTATACTGTAATTTCTGGGCTACAAACACATTGAACAATGAGATGCATCCAAACTTGGAGGTAACATTTTAGGAAAAGGACCTGCAATGGCACTGTAAAATGTACACGGTTTTAGGCAGCATTCACTGGGAATAGAGTATGTCTTATTCTCCAGAAGATATGGTACATTTTTGGCAGTGTATATGTTATTAATGAAGATAAAATTGTTAGATAATATTTTTCTCAATACTGTGTTGTGTGTTAGCATGTCTGATATTAGGTATGTTGCATAATAGTTAGTACACTTACATACTATTCTTGTACATCATGACTGTTTCATTAATCTTTGACATATGGCAAATAAAGGTTAAAGCAGGTTTTTAGCATTAGAAACACAGTCATGTAGGTGATAAATCATTTAAGGTTCCTTTGAAAACTTCTGAGGCAGATGAGGCTGAAGGATCTCAAATATGTTGAATGTATGCAAATAAAGTTACCTTTATTGCTGGCAATAAAATAAAGATATACCAGTAAGCGTGTCACTTCATGTAGTTAATGGTAATGAGGCACAACACTTGAGCCTGAGCCTGGACAGTCGTGTGTGGATTCCTTTGGCATATTGTGTAAATTCTAATTAATACTGTATATATATTTCTTGTGATCTCTTTAGATGTACTAAGTGCATTTTGCCAAGTGTTTGATCAGGGAAAATGATATGTAGGATTTTTATTAACTAATTAACTAACTCTGGGGAATGAGTCCTTGAGAAGAAAATAGTCACTCAACTAATCAAGAAATTCTGTGCACCCTGTGGAATGTCACTAGTCTTTGCCCTGAGCCGTATGAATACAGCCCACATTATTGTGCCCCATTTCTTTAAGATCCATTTTAGTGCTACCTTCCCATCTGTGTCTTTGTCTTCCTTGTGATCTGTTCTCTTAAAATTTTATAGCTGAAATAATATTTGATGAAAAGTATAATCCGTGAAGCTGTTTGTTATGCATTTTTCTTCAGCCTCCTGGTACTTTCTCTTCCTAGGACCAAATATTCATTTTGGCATCCTGTTCACTAACATCCTTAATCTGTCATCTTCTCTTGGGCTAAGAGATGAGGCTTTATACCCATACACATGGGTAAAATTATAGTTTTGTATATATTAATCTTGTTAGATAGGAGGCTGGAAGAATATTAACTCTGAACTGATTGTAGCATGTGCTTGTTTATGTTCTTATTGTTACTTTTAGCCAACAGTAAATTTATGTGAACTTCACCTGAATATGTAGTTCACCTTCATTAAAATGTACAGTAGTATCCTCCTGTCCCTGTGATGTTCATGAAAAGTGGAATTAAAGGAAATTAATCGTTTTCTGAATTGACATGTTACGAAGTACAAAACATTCTGTAAAATCACATCAAAAAGAGTGGGCTAAGTTTGCAAAAGACTGGTATTACCCAGACATGTCTACTACTAATTGGAACCATGCATAATGGGGTGCATTCTTTTTCTGCTTTTTTTAAAATATTTATGTACATACTTCTTTCTGTGTGAATCTATCATTTGTTCTGATATTATGATGACTGCATTAGGTCTGATAGACCATATTTCATTGTATCATATTGTACATCTGTTAGTGTCAGTATGTTTACTTAACCCTTGCATATGAAGAGAATAATGGTATAGTAATTACTTCACTTGCTGTCAGACTGTATGTATAGGTATCAAGCTAGTCCAGATTTAAAGAGGTACTTTTCTCATGATACAACATATGCTTGTTTGTGGTTACTGATGTTTTGGATACCCTGAAGATAGAAGCAACAGGTTCATATGAGGTGTAAGTACCCACCAACAAGTCTACATGTTGTCATGACCCAGAAGATCGCAGTCTAAAAGCTTCACTGCCATGAAAATCTTGTGTATCATTCTAGTTCTTGCATGATAGATTCTGTATTATTCTGGGAATTCCTTTGAGTTCCTACTGTTTGGTTCATGTGATTCATTTCATGATTGTATCATTCCCAGTTTTGTTTTGTTTTCAATGGCTGAAAACTGAGGGATTCAGTTAACAGTTCAGTATTTCAGTTTTAGCATGATGATACAATATGTATACTGCTAGAAATGGCTACTTGTTTTGTAAATTGTACAAGTGGATAAGGGCTTAGAAGCAACCCCCCCCCCAAAAAAAAGAAAACAAGTTTTTAACACTTTTATATTAAACTTATAAATCCCAAGAGGAATACAAGCATTCTGAGAACTTTTCGCTTAGTGGGGGATGGAGTCCAGCTGGGTCCACTTGGCACTGCGGCCACTGATTGGACCATTGTACCTGCCCCGGGTGATTATGATTATGGAGAATTTGGTGGAATGCATATTGGCAGGGGAAACTGAAGTACTTGGAGAAAACCCGCCCCAGCGCCACTTTGTCGACCACAAATCCCACTTGACCAGACCCGTGATGGGAAGCCAGCGACTGACTGCTTGAGCTATGGCACAGCCTTTCAGAATGTTGTTTATGTGGAAAGGATAATGTCCCTGCAATAAATCATACAGGTACATGATGTGTTTATATTGTTGCGTATTTTGTGTGTCACGCTACAAATAAGTTTATGCCGTGTTCGATATAGCGGATTTATTCCACTCGCTCACCTTACACACTTTACAATCGTTTGCTCTTGCAGTGTTACAATTACTGCTTGCAATATCTCGGCAATACTGGACTGTCTTCTCTGGTGGTTTATAGCAGACTAACTTCTTTTGGCGACTAATCCGAGACTTTCTTTTTCGACGGTTGGATAAAGACTAGCTGTGCGAATGCATTCAACCCCGTTTTATAACCTCGGTTGCTGCTATGCAACGAACCCTCTGTTATAACTGTGGAGACTCCTATTAGAACTACAATAGAGCGATTGTTGTTTCCTATGCAACGGTCTGTTCTAGCGTTTCCATAGAAGTGACTCTTCTGGATTCCCGACACGTTACAATATTTCTTCATGTAAGAGCTAATGTACTAACTCAGACTGACAGTAAACTTCTGAAGGCCTGTTTAAAAATATGGCCATATATTGAGAGTGTGTTTTACTTCTGGTCTGGTTTGGTCTGTAATATAATTGGGCAGCCTGTTATCCTATTATGCATTGCCACACAGTAGTCTTTTCTTAATATCAGGTAAGTCACAAACCACACCAAGCTTCTAACATGTAAGTTAAAATGCGTAAGTGATATAAAACAGTGACAACAGGATAATATTTTCACAGTGAAGATTATCAAAAGTCTTTGTTCTTACTTCCAGTGAAAATGTCAGTGAAATTGTAAATATCTTCATCTCTTGCAATGTGCAAAACTAAATGCATTCTTTAAATTCTTACTCTGAAAGATATCCTCTTTTACTTACATATTGACTTGCATGACTCACAGCTATGTAGTTAAGGTTATTATAATCATGATTGAGTGGTGTCACACAGCAAATAAAATGGAATTTTAATAATGAAATATTGCAGAATTACAGCACAGACAAAAACAGATACCTGCAGTCATGTGTTTCCTGAGTCAGTGGTGTGCTATTTTAAAATTGTTATCTCATTGATGAAATTCATAATAAGGTGACAAATCATTTTATGCTGTCTTTAACATAAGAACTTCACTGTTACAGATCATTTCTTCCATTGTATAAGAAGCCTATACATGAACACACTGTGTTTTGTTGGGATTCAGAGGTCTTCATGATGTGTAAGTTTGTGAGACAGAATTTTTGCTGTAATTGTATCCCTTTTCTCTTGTCAGCTAGTGTTTTAGAGGTATTTCAGTACACTTACTTTTACGCTTATTGCAATATACCTAACTAATGTGCTGAGAGACCCAGCATAGTTTCATTATTACTTCCAGGTTTTTGTTTCTCTGAGCTCTTACTTTTGGTGGCAGGTTTGTTTTGTATTAATTTTTTATTTACTTTCTCTCATGTTCGAAACTCTAAATTATAAATAAAGTTTCGCACAAAGTAAAGAATTTGCTGTTACAGGTGTCCCTTCTTTTGTGATGAATAATGACAGTTTCTTCATTTTTCAGTAATAGATCACAATAATGTTACATACATAAGGTTACATGACAAGTTGCTGTAGCAAGCCTGGAGTTGCCATCTTCTCTACTTATATTTTTGTGTATTTCCCTGTTATGGATAAAAGAAATGAAGATATGGCATTAATATAATGTTAAATCTTCTGCATCTGATCACCTGTTTCATCTGTGAATCTCTCATATTTAGAAGATACACAAACTACATTCTGAGTTTATGTATGAAAGTTGCTCTGCTTTGAATAGAGTAAATATATTGTGATTCAAACAGTACTTCAAGACAGTACTACTTTACTCTCAACCACTGAAGATTGTGAGTACCATAATGGAAACACAATATTGTATCTGAAAGTCATGTTGTGTCTTTAAGCAATATTTGTATGTAGTATTCCATCCACAGAACACATAAAACTACAAATGTGTGTGTGTGTATAGAAATGTGTTATATAGATACTGCATAATTAAATTGTTTAAGCATAAAAGAAAAAACTGATTTTGTACAAAATATCTCAACATGGAGCTGTAGATACATTGTGAAATTTTAGTAATTATGAATGAATGAAAATGTAACTGGTCTTTGCCTGTGTGATACTCTGTGAAGTGTGTTTCAAGGATGATATTCTTTATTCCATTTTACATGAACATCACTTCGATTTTGATCTGCAGTACAGATGTTAGCTCAGAAAATGAGAACTTGGCTTCTCTGTATCAAGTTCTTCTAAAAAAAAGGCTCTAATATTGTAAGACTTGTTTTTATTGATGTTACAGTAATAACAGTTTGATGCCATATGGTCTTTTTATGCCTGTTACATTAATAGATGTAGAAAGGAAAGTGTAATGCTGAATGAAAGAAGAGGCTAGCAACACTACACAAAATAAATACAGATGTTATAATGTGGAAAGTTCAGCATATCCCATTTTAAGATAATCATGAAAAAGTGTTTGTTCAATTTTGTATATTTACATTTTTCTCAGTATTTGAATCAAGTTTAGTGGTGTTTTTGAGCTTTCTGTACCAAACTCCTCTTAAAGTTTAAATACATTGTAACTAAAAATATTGTTGATCAAGTTATCCCTTAATGGAATACAGAGCTGTTGTTACTCTTTATTTATAGAAAGAGCTTTAATTTTTAACTGGAAAATTTTACAAACACCAAAAGAATATTATCTCATGTATTTTTCTCTGATATGTGCAACTTTAATTTTTTTCCACAGATGTAATATAAAGCATATATCAATCAATGTGGACTGTCATGTTTGTCTTGCCTCTTTACATTACGATGTTTTGTTAATAAAATGTTTATATATGATTTTTGTTTTCATTGCACTTGTCATTCATTATGTGTTATTCTCAGGGCATAACACATGTTCATCTGGTCACCCTAAGAATAACTGCAGCTGTTCAGTTGAAAATTATTGTATGCTGTATAAATTACATCTTTATGTGACTGTTAAACTAAGCTAATGTTTGCTTTGTTGACCCTCCTTTATCCTTTCTGCTTTAAAGAGCAAAAATATTTGCTCGTTACGTTAATGTTTAGTATACACTGGTGTGTTTCACATACATACATTTAATTGTGAGTATATAAGTAAAGTAATATAATACTGACTGTAAGTAAGTTGGCATCAATTGTGTAGAAATCAGGTAGTGATCTTCTGCATTGCGATACTGTGTAATCTTGTGGGTAGACACCAACATTTTAGAGGACCATGCTACCATCATCTCCAGGGTCAGCCTTGAATGTGTTGTATCATAGTATCATAATCAAGGAGACCACAATATGAACAGTCATCATTATGAAAACCTCAGAATTTATAGCAGTCACTTCATTTATGTAGATTCCAAGAGATGGTAGGGTACTGTAGAAGCTATATGTGTTGCATCTGCACTCTGGTTTTCTGTTGATAATACAGGAGGCCTGAAATGCCACATTTGTTAACTCATTATTCATAACAATCTGGCAACAAAAGTTAAAATGATATATCACCTAATGCTGGAGATTAAACATAGAAGTCATCACCACTGCCTTCATTGCATGATTTTCAGAATGTCAGTGACTACACATAACATTTGAAATTTAAAGAATGAAAGAAATAAATTGTATTAACAGGCTAGAGTAACACCTGACTGTTAGGTGTGGCAGGGAATTCGTTGCTGCCACTGTTTCAGGAGCTCTAGAGGCATGATAGAAATTTATTACAGCTAAGAGGTCTCTGGTGTAGCTATGAATGGTGCAGCAGGCTGTGTGTTCTTTGATACTGCTCTGAGACAATATTTAAAATTAGTATTCTGGGCGTTTTCCATTGTCCAGGTTTATTAAAAGCACAATGTTTTGGAAATTGGTTCTTCTTCCAACTTCATGCGAACATAATATGAAATGAAACCTCTCCTGTTGGGCTCCAAGGTAGAGCTACTCTGAAACCACAGTAAGATGTCATGTTCACATAAAGATAGAAATATAGCCAGTTTCCAAAATATATGAGTTTTATTATATTTGGAAAATTTATGAAGTCCAGAATAACAGTTTTAAAACACAGCAAGCTGTTAATGTATATTCAGATTGTTTTCTGAATTCATTACTGCCTCAGTAAACTTAGAATGCACCAGCAGAATCAGGTGAAAGATGACACTGAGAGTAGAGGAAAAGAAATGGAAAAGAATCTGATTGATGAATTATGGTTAGACAGAGATGCATGGAGATGGCTTTATAATTAAAGTATAAGTTTCTTTTTAAAATCACTTGAAGAAGATGAAATAATTTATGTCAAATTTTGTTAAATTTGTTCCCAGATATTTTCTTCCTTGTACAGAGGTTAGAGAATTAGTACATTCCTGTACCACCTTTCTCACCAGATGTGTTTTAGAGGCCACTTTTTGTCTGTCAGTGTCAGATTACTTACCTTTGTCTCCCAAGAACTCACACTCAGTGTTATATACTATATGGAAAGCTGATAGTCACTCAGCTGGATGAGACATTCCATGCCTTTTATGGAACAAGAAGATTCATTACTTTGTTCAGTAAATCCTACCACTTGACCCTATTCTCAGCCTAATTACTACTTTTCACATCCTCAGACTGTTTTCCTAAGATCCATTTTACTCTTTTTCTCCTGCCTATGCCTAGGTCTACAAAATGGTCTCCCCTTCAGGTTCTCAGATTAAAATTTTGTATGAATTTCTCATCTCTTCCATGCATGCTATTGAGCAAATCAGCCCAAACAGTAGACTTGTGACTTGTATTCAGGAGGTGCCTGGTTTGAATCTTGACCATAATGCCAGTTGCTCTGATTAAGATGTTGTTTGGTTTTCTTCAGTTCTTCCAGGCAAATGCCAGGATAGTACCTCAAATTAGTCTATGGCTACTTTCTTTCACATCATTTGTATCATCCTATGATTTGATGCTATATAAATTGAGCTACTGATTGTGTCATTAAATAAATAAATAAGTCCATCATGCAGCATGCCCTGCCTATCAATTTTAATCATATTAAATTTTAAAAATTAGTCAGTGCATCTGTCTGGCAGTGTATATTTCATCTGAGACATTACTTTTTCATGAAAGAGAGATGTAAGAAGGTCATAGGCTTTTGAATGTAATACTTGTTCTGTATCAATTGTGGTCACGGACTTCACAGTAATGAGCGAATGTGATAATCAGTCATTTTAGTATACATTTCTCCTTTTAAAAACTGAATTGCCATAATGCTCTTAAAGCATGCTTTAACATATTTGAAAGCCATCTGATGTGAAATGTAAAAATAGGTGTCAGGAAACAACAGTTACTCCGTGCATGGGTTTATAGGATGTCATCACATTTTGTAGACAAATCTTACACTAACATTGGGATTCTGACGATGGTGTATAACACTCAGGATTGCTAGGTTTTTGGACTTTGTCCAAGCCCTCACTTGAGGATAGAAACAGATTCAGGTTCCAGGATGTTGTGTTACTTAGAATACTGGGCAATGAACAAAGTCCAAAAACCCAGTAATCCCTAATTCTTTGGTTCCATTGGCTAACTTAAGACTTTGGAATTTATTTAATCAGAAGTGAAAGACAATATTAACGATATTACTAGAAATAATAACAATAATATACTACTTACTTCTTTTGTTTTCTGAGATGTATATTTCTCATCCTGTGGAGTGGTTTGTAGTGATTAATTTCATGAAACTCAGCCATATGTGTTGGTAGAAAGAGAGACACAACAGCTGCAACTGAAGCAACTATGCCAAATGCTAATGATGGTATCTGATAGTAATATTCGCCCTAAAAATATAAGACAGCAATAAGATCAACAAATAAGTAATGATACTGATAATATCGATGAACCCTAAGCCAATCTATTCAGCTGGTTGTGTGCAGAGAATTAAACAAGTAATAACAATATAGTGAGAGAAGTGTGAGAAATTAAAGTATCTTCATGGTTTTGTCCAACTTGATGACAACTATTGAAGCCTAAACAAATCATAAGGTTAAATATTGTGACATGTTGCGCAACTGAGAACCCCTCTCCCCCAGCAGTGACATGNGCGCTCCTTCCCCCCCCCCCCCTCCACACAGTGACGTAACTCGCAACGCAGCTGTGACACGGGTAACAGCCAACAGCGATCGCGTAACAGGCGGGCACTGCGAATATATAAGAAAGCTACACTGCCTACGAAGACAGTTGAGTTGAAATATAGCAGCAGTCACTGTAAGAAGACCCAAATGCATGGTTACAAGATTTTATGTGACAGTGAGCGATAACTAAGAAGTCAGTGAGTGGAAGACTTATTGTGTGCTTTCAAGACTTTGTGTATGCTGTAGTACAGTTATATTTGGAGTGTGTAATTCAGAGAGACTTGTATAACTCCCGCGTTATTAATATGTGAAGACTCTTGAAGATAGTGTGAAGAGATTTAGTTGCAGGGTTTGTAAAGTGTGGAAACCCGTAACATTGTTATAAATAATTGTAGCCGAAATTTGTAGGTTGTTGAATAAACCAATTAACAATCTCTACGGCGTCTTCAGTAATGAAACACGTTACAATATTTAAATCTATAAATACAGGTTTGCACTTTAAATTATTGATAATTGTTGGCATAAAGTCATTTACATGTACATTCACTGTATGCTGATGCTATTTTACCAGTTAATTTAAATTCCCATTATGCACTATGTTTCTCTTATTGACTGTTAAAAACGTCTTTGAGGATGGTATGTCATAGCTTGAGTAGGCAACCTTATGGAAGGAAAGTTTTGTGTCTGTGAGGCTTCTGGTATGGTGATCTTAGTTCCCATTGTATGCTGAAAATAGAATCTAGTAACTTTCTGCTGGCCGGTCACAGTAGCCGAGCAGTGTAAGGTATGCACTGTCTTCGCTCGCTCGGAAGCCGGGATCGTGGGTTCGAATCCCACTCAGGGTATGGATGTTTGTGTGCGTTTGTTTGTGTTTGTCTACAGATAGAGGCCTTGCGACGAGCTGATCACTCGCCCAAGGAGTCCTACCGAATGCGTAAGATCTAGTAAACCGAAGTGAAACAAAGAGTTTCATGGAGGTAGGCCTAGGCCCAAATTGGGGCTGTAGCGCCACAGAAAAAAAAACTTTCTGCTGATGCTGTAGTACTATGCTTTACTATGTTATGATGACATATCCTCAGAGATGTTTTAGACAATATATGTAATATAAATACTGACAGGATCATAAAATAACCACAAAAGATGTGTTTCTGTTTATTTAGCATGGTGTGAGACATTTGATCTAGTATACTTTACAGTATTTTACATGACAGGACTAACTGAGTAATCAAGCATTGAAACTAATCAGTGATTAAGAAATTGACTGAACTGACCAATTAGCATGACAGCCTGTATATACACACACCACTGACACCATCAACTCAATTTTAGGATTCTCTTAATTTTGTGTGCAACAGATTGGTTTAGTAAGATGAATTTTTAATACCAGCACTGCAGCAGTGTGGTGAACATATCTCTGAGGTGATTATGAAAGTAGAATAATCATATTGTAGCCATATGTTGCAGTCAAATAACTAATTAAGCACTACACCATGAAGGCATATGGGAGGGTGGATGTATAGATTTACATTTTCTTGACCTCAGCACTGTTTGGAAGTGAGTGGTCAGCTTCACACCCCGGCCACTTTACCCCTGGTGAAAGAGCCCCCAGTACCCATTATATAGGAGGTTGGGTGGACCCCAGAACTGGTTTCAACAACATGAAGAAGTGAAAATTCTTGACTCCACTGGAATTCGAGCTCTGACTCTCTGGTCGTTCAGCCAGTCGCTATACCAATTGTGCTATCCCAGTTCACCATATATGAGTAACAGAATATTAAAATATGCACAGAAGAACTTGCCTTTCAGAGTGTGTATTACTACCTCTCAAATATGACAGGTAGTGAGCAAAACTGCTCACTTGAATGATCTGAATTGTATCCTGAATTATTTATTACTCTTGCAGGTTTCAGTTTTGATAAATTATTTTTATTATTACATTGTGTAAAAAAAAGTGTTCATTTGATGGCTGCCAACTTCTCTCATTTACCCACAAAATTATTCATAATTAATAGGTATATTCTCTTAGGTGAACTCTTTTTTATCATTATTAAAATCAGAATTATTAGCTAAATTCTGTCACAGTCAAACTGATAAAGCTGCAAATATTGTTTGCAGCACTGTTCTTGAAGTAGTCAGTTGAAAAGAGAAAGAAGTAATGCCCTTAACCCAGAATAAATATAAAGTGTAGGAATGAGTGTGTTAGATCAATATTAAGATTTACCATATAAACAATGCTAGGAACAACAGCAACTGCTAGACCCATTGGACTCTCTGTACGGGCTGTAGAAATTTTGTCAAAAATATTGTTCATTTCGCATCGTCTTTGGACTATTGTGTAATATGCTACTGCCACTGCAAATCTGGTCATCAACCCAAGCGCTAAACTTAATGCAACATATCCTGCAAAATAAGTAATTGAAATTAATTTATTATATACATAATGCATCATGAAGTTGCACCAATAATAAGTAAATAATGACTACCTACTTGGAAATAGACGTATAGATAGAATAGGGACGTGTTACTTTGTTGGCACCTGCACTGGTGTATATAAGTAACAATGTGACACTTACTTGAATAGCATTCTCACTTCTCTGTGGTGTGTCCTCTATGATAAGTGAGTTGTGGCAGCATAAGAGGTTCCACTATCAAACTCTGGTTAGTTAAATTCATTAAACTCTTGTTTTGATTTGTAATAGGTAAGTAGTGAGATATACTTAAACAGTTTGTCAGAAATTCAGTGCTTTGCAGCTTTACTTTATAATACAATAGACAATCTCATAATATCAGGTGAGAGTGAAAGTGAATTGAACTTGTCTATGTAGACTGTTAATTGGACAAAAACGTAAATACTATAAAATCAGTTTAAGGTCTTTCATTCTGGTCCGTCACACTAACCAATTAACAATCAAGTTTCTTCCGTCAAATGTGACACTTTTTTAACACACATCACAACACACAGACAAGCAACATCAACTACCGACAGACAACACACGCCAACAACATCCCGAAGCAAAAAGATTGGGCCAAGCGGGAAAGAATTCTAGGGATTTTAAGAATTCTTACTTCAAATAACGAAACATAATTTTACAGAATTAACGACGAATCAAATAAGGAAGCTACTGTGGTGTGTGAAAAACTTTTAGTGAATCGACATTCTGGGTAATTTTAACTATTTGTAATTATTTTAATTAACTGGAACGTGGCTATCTTGGACAAAGTGAAGTTTTGTGTGTTGGTGATTTCTTTTTCTACTATAAATGCCTCTGATGATGGCTCCGTGGTGAGCCGAAACATGTAAGGCAGGTGCTGACGAGGTGGAAAACTTAAAAAAGTGTCACATTTGACGGAAGAAACTTGATTGTTAACTATAAAATCACATTATTTGAACTTGCATTAATTGTGACCTAGCTGAATACAAAACTGCAATTTTTGTTGCTATTGTGTATGGTTTCAGAACTTGGTCTCTAACTGTAAGGGAAGAACTTAGATTTAGGTGTTTGATAACAGTCAATAAGGGAATATACAGGGAGACAGGAAGCAACCCAAACTATCTATAGATAAAGACAGTGCCCTGGCACATCTGTCCTTGCTTCCCCAACAACTTGCCTAGCATGTATTGTGGTGCCTCTTAAGTTTTTCATGAATGAAGCCCCATCACTTCAAGGGCTTGAAAGACTGCATTGCAAGATATTGAGCATAGTGGCTTCCAGAAGTGTTCTGAATAACTACACAGTTGGCTCCAGAAATGATTATCTGTTGAAAGCCTATAATGTGCAAGGAACTAATCTAAACAGCTTCCAGATTTGGGATATGGTTGCTGTCCTTTTTCCCCCCTTTTGGAACTATCACATATGGAAGGAAAATACTGAAATAGATTTTATGGGAATAGGTTGTAAGCATAGTAGTTAGCAATGCTGTTCATATTTCAGAGGTCCTGAGCTTGGATCCTGGCCCATAGATCCAGTAAATTGAGTTTTCTTGGTTTACATATATGAGTATAAATGCAGGGATAGAACTCTGAAGGAGGCCACAATAGCTTCCTTCCACATTCCTTTGAATTCATTCACAGACACTCTAATATTTCATGCTATATAATTTATTATGCAGAATATGAACATTTATATATATTAGTAATAATAATGCTGGTAAGAACAAGGTCCATTAGTGACCAAAATGAGCCTCTAACAAGAGGGAATTTCTTGAAAAGTTGAATGACTCATTGAGAAAAATGCTGCACCAAGAAATGAGAAGCAATGTACAGAATGGCCCAAAGTCACACTCCATAGGAACTTTCAACAACATAATGCACTCAGTGGGTCACCTGTATTTACCCTTTAGATTACCTTTTTTTAACTCACCTGTTGGTAATATGGCGTAGCAAATATTTAAAACAGCTGCACATACAAGTGAAACTATAAGTGTGACTTGACAGACACGAAGACGTCCCTGAAGAATAAAGGGCAATATCCAGATTGGAATCTCCATTAGTGCAGCATACCAGTAGGAAACAAAGGTGTCTGAGGGATCAGATCTTCTGCCAAGAGCTGTACTTACCAAGTTCACACAAGTATAATAATTTCCATAGTAACACAAACCACATAGCATCCTGTAAAGAGAAACAAATTGAAATTCAAGAGAAATGAATGATGACATTGTAATTACAAATGCTGTATTAAATTAGTTAATATTAATTGCAATTAACACCCCAATGAAGTCCTCTGAGATTATGTAAGAACATTATAATAATTTTGGTAGTCTACTATCTAGACATGTTGTTTTGATACTTCTTTACTTCTAGCATTGACCTAAGAAGTCTCTTATTTGTAGGTTCTGTTTTTTTTCTTACCTTTTCCTTGTAATCTGAATTTCACTTCCAAAAGATAAACTTACCTTAGCTGTTACATTATGTAGTAATAAAAGAATGCCTAATCTTAGTCTTAAATATTTCTTCATTATTCTACATAGTCAGTTACATGCTATCTTTCATCTTTGTATTAATTTAGGTGATCACATTTTTTCATTCAAGGTATTTAATGTGGGTACGTGTTCTACAATGCTATTATCTATATTCATAAACAAACAAAAAAAAACCCGTGATTTTAGTCCGCAAGCGAACTATACCGATCAAGCGACCACCGCTTGTCGTCGAAGTTAGTGTCAACCTCAGTGGATAGAGGGTGTCGCGTGGTCAGTGCAACAAATGACAATAACACCCACAAGGCCGTTAATTTCGGTTTTCTAGACCGGAGCCGCTATTTCCTTGAAATAGCTCCTCAATTATCCTCATGAGGCTGAGTGGACCTCGTTCCACACCCACTACTTCTCAGAAAAAATCTGTTAGGGCCGGGAATCGAACCCGCATCTCTGCATCTGAAGCCAGGAACGCTGACCACTACATCACAGAAGCATTCGTTATTTGTACTCATAACTATTATAATTTGTTGCCAGTGTTTGCCTTTGAATACCTATTCCTTATTTTTATTTCTGAAGTTGTTAGGTTATACAACTCTATTACTCAGTTTAGTTCCATAACTACTCTCCATAATGTATCTTCTGAGACTGCAAGCAAAGGTTAGTCATTGGCATATGTCAGATGAGGGTTTACCTGTTTCATTCAAATCTTACTTAGTTCATGTTTTGTCACAATCCTTTATTATTTCATTGATACATACGTATACAGAGTGTTTCACGACTTTAGGGCATAACTGCAGGAGGTGATTTCCTAGGTCTTTGTGATCAAAAAAGTTCATGTAAACATGTGTCCAATTTTGGACGGTTACGGAGTTATGACCGTTTTAAACTCAGAATATAAGGTAACGATTAGACAATAAACGGAACAAAATAATAAACCAGCATAATACATGATACATTTAAAGTATGAATGTAAAGTTAACTTCGTGAAATTACCTTTAATTTGAATTCATTGGTGCTTCAATCTGATTTTCGAAAATGCCACCGCCGGCCGCAACACAGGCTGCCGCTCGGTTGTGAATCGCGCCGGACATACCAACCCACCCCGCCTTACGTAGCTCTCAAGTGTCGAGATAACGAGAAAGCTCTGTCTGTAGCTGGCTAAAAATAGCGACCCGCCAGCTGACAGACGCGGTTCACACGAGGGCGTGCACGGGAATGAAAAAACGGTCATAACTCCGTAACCGTCCAAAATCGGACACATGTTTACATGAACTTTTCTGATCACAAAGGCCTAGGAAATCACCTCCTACAGTTATGCCCTAAAGTTGTGAAACACTCTGTATATATGTGTGTGTTAAACAAAACAGGATAATCCACATCTTTTGCTTAATCCTATATTAATTGGTTTGGTCGTGATGTTCTCTCAAGCTTTGTGCAACAGTAATACTGTAGATACGTATTTGGGAGGTGTTAGGTTCAAATCTCTTCAAAGACACTGGCTATCCTGAGGTATTTGATTTGTTTCATTTTCATGATTTCATTTCATTCATTTTCATGATATCCTGAGGTACTTTGTGGCTTTCCCTAGTCCCCCCAGGCAAATTCCCAGTAGTGCCTCAGACTTGCTCAGATTTGGCCACAGCACACGGTGGTTGCTGGTGGTACTAATTCTGCTAGTAGTGAAAGGGAGCCTCGTTTGTAGGCCTTGAGAATGAAGTCCTTTTCTCTGGACTGTCAAATGTCAAGACTGGTAATCTATCATGGGAAACTTTTCATACTTGGACTGTTCATGTGAAAATTCTATTATAGGCAGAAATTTAGGTAAAAAGCATCTACATGCCTCACGTTTTCGAGAACGAATCGAGAAAAATCACGATCATCATTCGAATATTGATTTTTCAGTCTCTGACTTCAAGAGTTATGAAATACGGTAACTGATTTTGCTTTGCGCAGTAGCATGCAAATTATTCAGAACACCACAGTGATGATGGTTCGCATCGTCAGCACGAGCCAATTTGACCCCTCCCCTCAAAAAAAAAACTCTTACTTCTGCCGGGTAAGAAAGTCCTGACGGTCCTGACCTCCCAGTTCCCAGCTAGTCTCATACCAAAGAAACCGACTGAGCTTCAGTGGAATTGGAAAAGATGGTGCTATAAATCATCATTGCAGCATAAGAAATATTCTTGTAGAGATAATTCTATGTAACATATTGACTCTGGAATTTTTTCGAAATTCTCATTTCTAACTGAACGGGTCATTTTCGCACATATCTAATTAATTATAGTGTAAAATATTAATCAGGGCGTAAAAAGTGTTTTTAAAAATATTAAATTGCAGCATCCTGTTGCACTGTATAGCTCTGACTTTGGGTTCCTCTTTTTACCGTCTATGTTCAACGTCAGTTAATATTCTCTCGTCGTTTTCTCTTTATTATCACTACAAGCTTTTAAAAAGCCTACCACAAAGCGTTAATAATGATGAATCCTTTCCTGCATGAATAACAGTGGAACCATTCAAACTCCAACAGATTATTCCTGCTGTTACTGTTGCTTTTTAAGCAGCATATCTTCGGGCTTCTTTGATTCCGTGACCAGAAATCACGATACTCCTCCAGGAATTTATGATTTAAACGTAGGCGCTCTTTTATGTTGACTTTAACGATCATATGCAGTAACTGAACCGCGTTTTCATGACGGCCAGTGCTGAGCATCCACCATAGAGATCCAGGAACAACCCTAAGATTGCAAAAAATTTTATTTTAGGAGTGGTCAGAACCCTATATAAACAAAAGGAACATCATATACAATATCTGAAGACTACAATAGTTTATTTTTCAGCTGTTCACCAAACGTCATAGCCAACCGAACGTTGCGCTTGACTGAGGGTTGTAATCAGGTATAGAGTGGAGGAGAATGTCTTCCACTTTTCTAATCTTTGTTCTATATGAGGACCATGCTCGACCATGTTGACAGGTGCTGACCATAGACGCCATAGACTACACACCAATAGCTTTTGAGTGTAGGCCGGGATTAGAGATTGAAATCTGTGTAAGAGGATTTTTTCTGTGAGCTTGTGAAGACAGCTCCAGAAAGTCTGCGACGTCTATGACACTCAGCTGATTTACGGCAACCTAACCTACAGGAGCACATCGTTGGAATGGTAGAAGTGGAGGGAATAAAGAGACAGGTAGTTAACGATGCCAATATTGCAGAACACACCTAGTGCCTCTAATGCTTTACGAACAGAACAGTGTGGAGCTTAACCAAGTCAGGTTGTATGGGACAGGACTTAGCGTACGAAAATTTCGAATTGCAAATCTGTCGCGAGAACTGTCATAGGTGGCGGAAAGAAAAAGCTTACGTGCCTATGGACTGGTTGTGAATGAATTGTTCCATGTCAGACCAACACTTAGGGGCAACATTTTCACATACTCATACAGTAGTAACTTTTAATTCATTGTACTGATATTGTCTATTATTTTTTTCATAACTTGTTTTACTTAAATTAATATTGTAATCTGTCTTGATTTATAACAGTAGAAAAATCATTACAACATATGTTTATCATGTAAAGTATTTATGTTGTGTTGACTTTGTCATCTGATGTTGGTCAGTAATAGCTGAAACATATAAAAGCTTGCTCAATATTAAATTATTGCACTTGTTGGACCTTGATACTTATTAATTTTTAGAAAGTATGACAGCTCAGAATTAGTAATCTAATTTAGTTGCAGAGCAGTGTAAAGCATCTTAGCAACTGAACAAATATAGGACTGATGAATGTAATTGTGACCATGGTAGACTACTGTGCCAGCATGCTCATGCATAGCTTGGGTACTAGGAAATGACAATGTCTCAGTCTTTTAACTTCCTTCACTGGTGTAAACTTCAAGTACCTATGTGCCTTTAAAAAATCAGTTCATTTTTATTACAGGCAGCATTCCTGGTAGCTGTAACAGAAGGGAAGAATGCATAGTCAGAAGAGACAAATTGTCTTCAGTGTTTTCATTTACATTACAAACTTCATAATTTTAACTGAGTAGACAAGAATTTAGCAAGGAATATCCTTCCCCTACATCTGTACTATCCCTTACAGATATCAAAATTCGGGCAACAACAAATAAGTTTTACATTTACATTCATTTTCACTTCATGGATCCAATCATCTCCCTGTAGGGCTGGATATAAAACATGTCACACATTACAAATTCATGATGACTACACATCATACGCCCTTAGGCCACTTAGGCCTCACACACACAGCGTAAGTTATCAAGACAACACACATAGGCCGTGGAAAACCCACTATCACATTGACCCTGAACAAAATCCCTCATATTTCCAACCATAAGAACTCTATGCTGCGCAATTACACACCTTGCTATTACACACACATTGGCCAGCCATATTAATATAGTTTCATAATAACATATTAAAATTCATAACAAACACAGACATCATACATACTGCCACACTTACAGCAAGTTAGTCTCAACAGTGTATAATACAAACACACATTTATTAACTCTTAAAATTTGAGCCCCTTGCATGCTCAACAAATTTGTCAATAGAGTAAAATGAGTTACTTTGCAAATAATTTTGTAAAACAAGCCTAAATTGATTTTTATCATCTTTTAAAGCTGAGATATTTTATGGCAGAGTGTTAAATAGCTTGACGCCTGATTAATACACCCCACTCTGATAGGATGATAAATGTGTTGTAGGTATATGAAGGTGGTCATTCCTTCTTGTACCAATCATATATACAGAGTTATTGGTCTGAAACTTATCCAGATTATTAACAACAAATGTCATCAGTGAGAGCAAATATACACATGGGATTGGTAGTATGTCAAGCTTTTTAAATAGATCTCTACATGTATGAGTTGGGCCCACTCCCACCATTATTCTTATTGTTTTCTTTTGCATAACAAAGACCTTATGACTGTCTGATGTATTTCCCCAATATATTATTCCATATTTCAACAATGAATGATAATACACATAATATACAGCTTTAAGATTATTAATATTTAATATATAAGACAATTTTTGCATTAGAAAACCAAGTGTGCTCAACTTATGAAGCAAAAATCTATATGTCCCTTACAAGTCAGATGATTGACCAGCCGCAAACCGAGAAATTTTATCACTTCTACTTCTTTCAGCGTTTTGTTAAAAAAACAGTGTATATAGAGGGTAGCTCGTAGCTGCTGTTAGGGCGAATTTTATCATTTTTGTTTTATCCAGATTTAACACGAATTGATTATTTTGAAACCATGTAAACATATGATTAAAAACAACATAAAGTTTTATTTTTAAATTATAGTAGTCTTTAGCTGTGCGAAGAATACTTGTGTCATCTACAAACATAATAACTTCAGAAATTTTACTTATTTCAGGCTGTGTGCTCTGTTAGCGTTTCATCTTCAGTATGTGCATTTACATTACAGACTGTTTAATTTTAACTGAGTAGACATAATTGCAGTAGGTAATGTGCTTTTCTTACTACCACACTAATCCCTTTTCTTACACCTCTGAGACAGCAACGTTCTAGCAACATCTAAGAAGCTATAGTACAATGTATGCCCTGTTAGTGGGTCATGCCATCTCTTGTTAAAAGCCACTAATATAGGAACAGTATACTCATAGAACATGATGGATAGGTTTGAGCTGCTCTTACCATATGAGCATGAAGCATGCAGCTCCCGATAAAGCTGTTGGAATTAAGGTGAGCCACCACCAGGTTGTTACCCCATGGGCCATCCAAGGAGACATCAGTGTGGCTATAGTGTGAGCCATCATCATCACCAGCAATGGGATGGCTTGATGCCGTTCATTACAGAGCCCCAGAACTGTGATACAAATATCTAATATGGCAGCACTGGAATGTACATTAACTGTGCACTTTTCATGTATAGATGTAATTAAAATAATCTTACATGATTAGATGCTTACATCAGGTTCTGAACAAACATTCTGTGATACCTATGAATTGCTGTTATCTGCATTTATGAAAGTAGAAGTGTTTGTATACCACAGTTTAAAGTCAGGCATGAACATTTATATCCTTTCATTTTCAGACTTCAACTGCAGTGACATTTCTACAGCTGCCCAACTTCTGGGGGCAGTGCCTAAGAAAGACCTCCTTCCCTTAGCCATATCTATGTTTCCAGCAGTCAGCCCTTTCATCGAGTGTGGAGTATAACTTTAAAAGAGGTATGAAACCATCACAGTTAATTAACTCTGAATTATTAGGTTAAGTGAACCAAATATGAGTGCATATATTCAGATTTGTCAGAAAGTTATTAGACATCGCTGTCCTGCTATGATTTAATGATCCCTCATATCAGTGATCAGCACTGTCCACATAAAAACAACACTGGTCAACAGTCACATGTTACTTCATGACTCCTTTGCCAGAAGGCACCCTCTACTGTGCTGTGACTTGAAAATATGGAACTAAAGTGAAGATCTGACAAAAATGCTGCAATCATTCACCCAAATTGGGGCTTCCCACATCACATGCAGGCTATGCCAGGGATCTTTAAATTCTGGCACTACTGTGGCCATACAAAGTTTTCTTGTTCATATCAGCAAATAAAGCATCATAAAATGTAAGAAGGTACAGTGCTTGCTTAATTAAGCTATATGTCAAGCAGCCTCCGTAGTCTAGGGGTAATGTTCTCACCTCATGACTCAAGATATGCGGGTTCAAACCTGGCAGAGGTCGTGGAATTTTTAAGGGCGGAAAAATTCAGGGAACAAGTCCTCCGGGAGGGACTTTAAGCCGTGTGTCCCGTGTCATAGATTTATGACATGTAAAAGATCCTCATGTCTCTAGGAGACCTATGAGCAAAATTAGGCCAAAAGTTTCCCGCCCAAGTAGTTTCCAATTCCTCCAGTAGATGGGGAAGTATCGGGGACCACTGCCATAGAGGTGGCCGACCTCGCTGGCAGAACGGGGCTGATAGCAAGCACCAGTACTAGAAGGGCATGGCAACTGGTAGAATAATTACAGGGGGATGCACAGTAGACCAACAACTGGTCGCAGTGCATGGGGTAACCCACCCCCTCCACAATAATAATAATAATAATAATAATAATAAGCTCTATGTCATGAAGACATGAGGGAGTGGAGATATATCTTCAGCATTCTTGACCTTGGCACTAGATGGAGGTGAGTGGTCAGCTTCATGCCCTAGCTACTTTACCCCAGGGGAAAGAGCCCCTGTTACCCATTGGATAGAATGGTGGGTGAACCACAGACCCAGTCTGGATGAGAAGAACTGATCTTTCTCCTTATCTTCATTTCCTATTCATCTTTTTCTTGTCCTCTTTAATATGAATGGGATTTGGTAAAGGAACGTGTGTCTCATAAGTGAAGCACAGGCCAATAAGCCACTTTATACTGTTAACAGAGCAACTCATATAATTGGCAGCTATTCTGTTTGCATGAATAATTGTATGAAAGTATAATCATGGTGACCTATAAGTGTATACAGTACATTCCTGATTATCCAGGGTTGATGGGAAGTGAATTTCCCTGGATAACTGGAAACTAGGATAATCATTAAACAGAACAATTTCGATTTATTAAATGATGTATACATTTATAAGTGTATATTAGCACAGAAACAGTATAAGTACAGTTATAATTGTAATCCTTGATTAAGAAAACAAAAGAAAGGAACATGTAAATATTAGATTTGTTTCATTCTGGTCCGTCACACTAATAATATGATGAGAAATAAATGATACGAACTCCGTCCCAAGTGCAAACAATATACAGTAGAACTTGGTTATAACGTCATCAAAGGGACCTAAAAATAGTGTCGTTATAAACGAATATCGTTGTAACCGAAATGGGCACTTCCACAGTAGCCTTATGTTAGTCACGTAAAAATCTACCAAAAACCGAGTTAAAATGTTGCATTTTTTAGTGAAATACGTAGTTAAGTACAGACTAACGTAACATTAACGTGGAATTAATATGGATTCTCCATATCGTTTGTACTGTAGAATTCACCAAACCAAATTCGCG